GCTGAGATTGAGATTCTGGTTGAGATTGTGGTTGTGGTTTTGGTTGTGACCGTGACCGTGACTGTGACTGAAGTTGTGTTTGCGGTTGCAGTTGAGGTTGCAGTTGAAATTTCAGATGTGTTTGCGGTTCAAGTTGAAGTTGAGGTTGAGATTGTGATTGAGGTTGTGATTGTGATTGTGATTGAGGTTGCGGTTGCGGTTGCGGTTGCGGTTTTGGTTGATATTGTAGTTCCGCTTGTGTTTTTGGTTGTGGTTGTGGTTGTGGTTGTGGTTGTGATTGCGGTTGAAGTTGAGGTTTTGGTTTCGGGTGCGGTTGCGGTTGTGATTGATGCTCTGGTTGAGCTTGCTGTTGTTTTTGAGGTTGTTGTTGAGGTTGGGATTGGGATTGTGGTTGTGGCTGTGGCTGTGGTTGCGGTTGTGATTGAAGTTGAGATTGAGGTCGAGGTTGTGGATTTGGGTGTGGCTGAGATTGTGGTTGCGGTTGTAATTGCGGTTGTGGCGGTGATTGTTTCTGTTCAAGATTACCAAAGCTCGGGGGTGGCACAGGATCATGCAAATTCAGTGGCGATATTTTTGGGGATTGTGGTATTTGAGGTAATTGTGACTTTTGCGTGGTTTGAGATTGTGGAGATGATTCCAACGGAAGTACCAATGTTTGCAACTGTGTAATCTGTTGACCTGGGTACTTATTTTGCGAACTTATTACTGGCTGTACGTGTTTTGAAATTTGTGGTTGCAGTTGTATATTCTCCTGCGTTGGTGGTTTTGGCTGCGGCAATACGAGCGTTTGCATTTGTTGCGCCTGTTGTTGCATCTGCGAGTTAGTAATTAATGATGGTTTAATTACTTCATCAACCGGATCTGTTCGTCGAGATTTTACATTCTTAGTTGGTGATTCGAGTAAGGTATCTGAATGATGAACATAAACGTGTTCTTTAGGATCTCGGGCAAGAGTTGTCGAAACTTTTCGCCTCCGAACATCTCCGGGGCGCTCTATGATTGTTTGCCCCTTTTTGTGAGGAAGACGAATTGCGTGGTTTATCTTATCTTTCCGAACAGAAGGGAGAGTGGCGTTTGAGTTATGAGTGGCGGGTGCTGTGACGAGTGTAGTGGCTGGAATGGTGGCGGGTGTATTAGCAAGGTTATTGCTGGTCAGGGCATCGGCTTCATTCGGGGATTCGGTATCATTCGGGGTTTCTGCTGCATTGACAGGTCCGGTGATTGTATCTGCCCAGAGCGGTGACTTTTGTGGAGACATATCTTCTTCTTTCCATGGTTTGTGCCGTTTACGATCAGTGGAATTATCTGTAGAACTCACCTCCCGTTTATTATTTTCAGGTGTATCACATGTAGAAAGATCTGACTGTTTTTGAGGCGATGGAGCAGAGGTCATGGAGTAGTCAGACGGCCTGCGTTCTGTCTCTGCCGTGGTGGGAAAGCTTGCTTCGGATGCACGCCTCAGGATCGCATCATCCATCGAATTTTGGCGAGTTTGGGTTATGTCATCTTCCTTAAAGCCGTCTCTGAAGAAACCGGGTGGGTTAGATCCTGATGGCGATGGTAATATGGAACTATTTCCCGAAGCTAAGGGTGCTGAGTGGGGTGGAAGAGCATCTTTGGGCGATTCGAATGTAGGAATAGGTAAGCCTTTTTCGCGCGCTTTCCAAGCTGCTCTAACACGATCCATATGTGCAAGTAGCTGTTTTTGTGTGACTCCGTCTTGAATACTACATAGAATCTTCTTTACTACATTTTCGTCATTGGCTGTTTCTTTGTCGTCCCGAAAACGTACAAATCTAAAAGTCATGGAATCAGCAATTGTCTTTGTCTAACATGTTAACATGTCAGAAAGAAGACGTAGAGGAACCCCTTTACTGTCCACCAAAAGCTTACCTCCAACCACCTTTTCTCATTTTTGGTGCATATCCTTGCTCGACAATCGTAACTTCCCAATTGGAGTCGAATCTAATTGGATATATGTGTTATTTAAAGTGAATCCCAAGGTCACAATCCATACATACCTAAATTCTCCAATCCTGCCATCAGGCAAACTGTTTTTCCAGCTAATACAAAGTCAGTATCATATATAATAAATATTGTTAATGAGTACAATTTCCTACCCTGCTGCCAATGCTGGCTCTGGTTGGAAATGGTCATAAAATTTGTATGTGACTCCGTGAGACAATACTTCGAGTGCATACATCGGTTTGTGTTCTTTACTCCATCGTGCGGAGATCCTAAAATCCACCGTAGTCAATTCAGGTGGTTTCCATTTAAGCCTAAAATGTTTGTGAATAGTGGATACAATATGATGAATTTTGGAATGAGTTTCGAGCATTTCATCGATAAATAGGTTGTCTACCTACAGCTTTTCGCAGGTACCAGGTACGTATGGGCACTTTACAGGTGTCCAGATAACCCCATCACTACTATGTTTTAATTTGGACATTTGCCCAAACACGAGATGAAGGCCGTAAGCACGTTCCATTTTCTTAAGTTCCAAACTAAATAATTGTTACGCTTTATCAGCACAAAAAAAACCACATTGGCCCGGTTCCAAAGTCTTGCGTGTGTAGATATATTTATCACATCAAGCTCAATATTTGCTTACGTGAACGGCGGTTTTGTTGAATCTTCAAGGTTTCGTAGACTGGCGTCAAAAGGCATCAGAACCTCTTGTCGCAGCATCTACACGCAAACAGTAAATACTCAATACCCAATAAACGCACACACAGACACAGACACAGACACAAGCTGGCACACATACACACATGTATGTATACATATACATATACATATACATATACATATACATATACATATACATATACATATAAATATAAATACACCTATACATATATGTGCACGCATATAAACATAATACTGCAGCAATAATAGAAAGATACCTACGCCTAGTCGTGTATTAAAGGATCGCTGGGTGACTGGAACTGCATTAATGGCCATCAAATCAAATACCAAGAATCGCCAGGTTTTCTATTTTCATGGTTCAGCTGATGTTTTCAAGCCCTGTCTACAAGGGAGTAGTTTACCTTGTCTCCATCAATATCAGCTACTAGTTCACCATCCATTAATGTATCCTTTAGATATTCTTTGTCTCTATTCCGGACAGGAAAGACTAGGTTGGGTATATAATGCCAAGTTTGATGACGGTCAAACTAGAATAGTCAAATGGTTTTAATATGAGTAAAGCAATCGACACGCAGACCCATATATATATATATATATGTGTGTGTGTGTGTGTGTGTGTGTACATCCCCATATATGTACACACATGTACAAATAACCAATTTTCTTGTTGTTGAAATTACTGAACGGCAAACTAACCATAAAGGAAGCTGGCCCCTTTGGGGAATGAACAAAGAAAAGAAGATAACGAACACCGTCTGTTTTTTCGCACACAAAATAATCTTCTCTCTCGAGTACGGAAAGATGCTTTGATTCAAAGCAGACAGGCTGTGATCCCGGAAAACTAGAGGGATGGATGTGTTGAGAAGTCAATGTGACGAGATGCAGTAGTGATGTACCTGTCGTCCTGTGTTCTCAAAAGTTCTTTAGCTCGTGCTTGGAGCGTTTTCGAATAGATTGGATCGACGCGTTTTCCGATGCTTTCTGGCATAGAAGTGTCATTGGCGTACGTCTCCAAATGCAATGGATTGGGAGAAAGAGGATGTGCCATGAGAACGAAAGAAGGGGATTGGCGCGTAAAGAACAGAGAGAGTGGTGAGCGGGAATGTTTGTAATAGGCGTTAAAGGCGCCGGCTCGCAGGATAAAGAAAGAGAGGCGATGGGTGGATGAAGATTAGAGACAATCAGGAGAGGGAATAATGAAGAACAGCAACAACCAGAGTGGTGAGACATAAAGGTAGAGCGGAATAAAAAAAAATAGATGAAAAAAAAAATAGTCTCCCTTTTCTTCCCTCCTCTTGACCTATACACACACACACACACACAAAAAGAGAGAGAGAGAGAGAAAGAGAGAAAGAAAGAAAGAGATAGAGATATTGAGTTTCTTAGACGCACACAAATACACACTGCAAACACGCACAACAACCACCATTTTGAGGCTAGAAGTCTATACCCTTGTACACTTCACCTTGTTTTTATTTCTTTGTTTTTTGTTTTAAAAAAATAAAGACTAATAATACCTTTGGCTATTTTGAAACATTTGCTTTGATATATAAGTCATTTTATCTCTCTTTTTCTTTTACTTTTTATTATTATTATTATTCTTTTGCTCTCTTACTTTTTAAGTTGATCAAATACTCATACACACATATATGCTTACAGGCATTGTAAAACTACATACACGTCATCTTTTCGACACAAAAAAAAACGATGATAAACACAAGCTACTGATATTTCTATATAAAGTATTTATATATATGTATAAGTTAATAGTAATCTACTGCTATTATTATGTTTATGTTTATGATTATTATTATTACAACTATTATAGTTATAGTTATAGTTAATATTAGTATTAGTATTAGTATTAAAGTATTATTTTGCCTTGTTTTCTTGGTTTATAGATATGGGAAACAAAACAACTAAATTTTATAGTCCACTGGCTACATCTTGCCAGAATACTTGCATACTTTTAATATCCTTTGTACTCTGAGCATCCAAATCATCGAGATCCTGTATAATAGCCTTGGCTCGTAGATGTACATCTCTTTCAATAATCTCATCATCTTGAGCTTCCAAAACCTTGTCTGTGCGTCTATTTTCTTTGCGCACCTCGTGCACCATTCGACCAATAAGGCGAAGACGCGAGTTCAGTTCCTGGGCCTGTTTTTTGTTGACATACATGTGTTCTTTGAGTTCCTCCATTGACTCAATCACCGACATTGTGTCCATGTCAAGTGTATGTAGAGTAGGAACTGGGTTTTCATATAAGTATATTTGGTCGTGCAATGTAGCCCGTACTCCACTCATCAACACCTCCAGGTCACGAATGTCCTTTATGGACATTTGCATCCCCTCCTTCCGAATCGATAAAGCCATGGTCCGAAGGTCACTAGTCTGGCGCTCACGGTCGCGCGATCCACGCTCGACGTAACTGATAGCCAGCTCAAGTGATTGCGCAAAACCATCCTTGTGTTCCTCACTTTGTGAAAGAAGTGTATTGAACAGTCTCTTATGAAGAGTCTTTGTTTCCCATACAGCAGAAGAAAGGTCGCCCAATTGTTGTTCGAGTACCTCAAACGCATCTACAGGCTCGTCAGGGGAAAGGTGGATTCGACCAGAGTCGTAGAGAGTGCTGACACTGGGAGTAGAGTGGTGACGAGAAGGTAAGGAAGAAGTATTGCTGTAATCAGGAATAGGGCTCTTTGCGGAATCGAGTTCGGTAGCGAGGGAAGAGACTAAGGGGGTTTCCTTTGCAAAGCCTTTGGTAGCCAGTTCATCTTCTAAGGACTGACTAACAGTAAACACGTCTTTATGAAGAATTGAATCCATTAAAGTATCTAATATTATTACTATTATTCTTATTCACACAAAAGTAAAGTGAAAGAAACAAAGAATAAAGAGAGAAAGGGAGGGAGGGAGGGAGAGAGATAGGAAAGAGATAGGAAAGAGAAAAAGAAAAAGAAAAAAAAAAGAGTATAAAAGGTTTGGCGTGAATCAAAAGGCTAAAACACAATACACAGAGCCTAAATGGTTGTCTTATTCTTTAATATGTACATAGAAGATATGCGTGGAAATGTATATGTATGTGGTGAATTGTGTCGAAAGTATGTATCTAAATCGAACATGGCTTTGGTGCGTCCTTGCTTAAACCACCAAGCAGATAGACTAAAGTGTAGCATTTAGAGACTTTTTTTTTATGTCTCGCCAATAGTTAGTATCAGTACAACCCCGCCACTAGTGTAATACATACTCTTTAAACACTCTTGGCATTTTTGGGGGCATTAATAAAGTAAATATAAATAATAATAAACAGAGAGGCTGTGAACTTGTAGCAAATTTCCCGTCAATCGATTTGCTACAAGCACCATCCCATTTTGTCTGTATTTAAAACACATTAAAACGTATTTGTAAGTCGTACAATTGAAGAAAATTAGTCGCATAATTCGAAAATATAAGTTGCACAATTCGAGAATACAGGGCGCATTTTTAAAAGTTCCTACCCGTTATGAATGTATCTTTTTTTTAAAAAAAAATAAACCGCACAGAAAAGCGTTCTTAAGCTATTAAGAATCATAATAAACATTATGCCACTATTTGTTTTATGAGGTATACTCAACTTTTCGCTTAAATATATAAAAAAAAAACTGAAAAAATTATCCCAAAAATGCGATTTGTATAGTGTGTTTTACTGTATGTAAAAGTCCGCATTGCATTATTTGATGTGAAAATTTTCCACAAGTCTACACTCTCTCTACTTAACCTGGTACACTGAAGAACATCATACATAAAATATCCTTTATAAAAATGAACGTGTTTCAAAAATAAGCAATACACTTAGTGCTCGATATAGTGATATACTATAGCTGTATTTTTTTTTATTACCATCACCATATCGAAAAATAGCGAGGATTATCAGGGAACAGACTAAAATGTTCATAAGATATCACTATATTGGACCTTGACTGTACAAATGATGAAGAGCCAGGTAACACTAGCTATTGCCTAGACAACAAACGCAAAGCGTCTTTGTGGTAGGGATTTTTTTTGCTATCCACTAAAGCAAAAAAAAAAACAAACTCTCTTTCTTTTTTTTAAAAATCTCTGTTGTGTATCACATCAAAACATCGTCAGTATGACAACTAATCATCACAGCGAGAAAGATGAACTAGATTTGCAACAACAGCAACAACAGCTAATAATGAACCAGAAATAGCGTGAGCTGCTTTGCCAGCGAGTCTTGGGATATGTCTGTTACCCGATTTTCTACTATGATATTTTTAAATGAATGATATTATTATAACAAAAGACATGCGTAAAGGTATTACTAGTAATAGACACTAAATCAAACCTTGTGATTAATATAGCCGACGGAAAACTGACGTTGTGTACTTGGTCAACTCTAACTCTATCGTAAATCAGATCTACAAAATTACATCTTATCTACCAAATGGTATACAAATCATTTGACCAAAGTATGGGTTAAAAGGACTTTTGTGATATCTTTGTCTTGTAATTCAACAAGACTGTCTAGGCTGCAGGTTCTAATACGACAGCAAAATAATATTATTTTTAATAATAATATCAGTCCTTCAAAAACAAACAAAAGTAAACTAAAGCTAAAGTGTCTCTGTCAGAGCTCTGAAAACACGGACATTTGAGAAACTGTCCTCAGTAAGATTATCAACAACGTATTTAAGAGCAAAGACAAGTTCTTTGAAGGGTACAGAAACAAAAACAGTGGTCAAACGGATTGGAAAACTTACTTTGAAGGTGGATAAGAAAATAATACAAACCTATTTGCTTGACATAAAAAATTACTTCATCCACAAGCGAGCATGTCATGACTACGCATTATGTAAGGAATGAAAAAAAAATTAGTATTCTTTAAACTCAATACATATTTCTTGTAACACTCTTTTTCTCTCTATCTCTTTAATACTCTAAGCATGCCACTCTCAAAGTTAAACAATACAAAAAAAAAGAAGCACTCTTGTTGGAATGCACATGATTGGGTTATCATTTGTTGAAATTTACAGACGTCGAAATGTTAATGAATAAACATCTCGCTGTATAGTATACTGATACTATGAAGACTGTTCCACTAGATAGTAATAGGCCTTATTTCAAGAAGCCTTTGGCTTTTTTTTCTAGAGATATATATTACCTTGAGAAGATTTTCTTTTGAAAAGAAATTATTGCAAGACGCTAATAGGGATAAGAGAAAACACAGAAGATGTAGTTGAAATAACCATGTCAGAAAATACTACTAGTAGAATTTTGTATGATCTTGGCTACAGCTACTGTATTGCGCAGGCTATGTCTGTTTTCTTTACTTTTTTTTTTTTGACCACAGAAAGATATTTTTTACACGACTGAAATGGGGTACTACAAGAATGACTTGGGATAAAAAAATGAAAGCCGTGATTTAGAGTGACAAGATATGTTCCTTTTTTTTTTATAAAAAAAAACAAAAAAGCGAATGGATAAGACCATGTGTGGAGAAATACTTAAGAGAAGTACTTCCAGACTATTCCCAACCGAAAGAGTAGAGAGTAGGAAGATCAGTGATGATGTTGAGTGTGTGTGTTTGTTTAAGCTGGATGTATCTGATCACTTGCCTGCTTGGAGAAGGATATGTATGCGAAGCAATATGTAGAAGTCATAAAAAATCCAGCTCAAGTTTATGGTATGCTGCCACTCAAGGATATTCAACCTCATGTTTTCCAAAAAGAAGAAGAAATTTCCAGTTCATAAATCAACTTTGTCACAGAAACACACACACGCAAAATAAATGCAACAAAGAGTTTTGATGTTCTTGAATGTATATCAAAAGATCTAGATCTGAGACCGGTGTAGAGCATGTGTATTCTGCTAGATGACCATGTGTGTGCGTCGTCTTATCAGCCTAAAATACTAAAGAATTTGGCAAATTTTTCTTGAAAGATGAGTGGCAAATGATAGCAACCCAAAAGAACGTTTCGACTATAGTTTTAGTATGCATAACTGACTGTTTGGTGGGAAAGAATATATATAGATAAATATAACTATAAAAAGGAGGGGTACTCAATATCGAATCAAAAATAAATTGTTTATGTTTTGATAACAAAAGATTACATGGCATAAGCTTTATAGTTCTTTTGTATTATAGAGTTATTGACTGGTATATGAGTAATAAGAGAAGTTTAAAGACAATACAGTTTATCATATACATAGATGTATGTACCGAGATCTTAAACTCACGTCCATTGCTTTTGTGGTCACCTTCTACTGTATTTTTTTTACTAATCATTCACAAGCTTTTTCTCCAATTAAATTCACAAAATGGATCCTAATTTCCACACGCACACACAAAACGAGTTTGTAGATTTAATTGGAAAAAAATTGTCTGAAACTATAGATGAAATGAGAAAATAACATTTCGACATCTTACCAGTAAAAACCTGAGTTCTCTTAAGAAAAATCCATATTCGATACAATTGTATTAACCTATGCATATATATACTGAGGATGCAGCAGGACAAATATCACTATCAATTATTCTTTCCCTCCCCCCCAGATTTTATAGATATATATATATATACATGTGTGTGTGTGTGTACATGTGTGTGTATATTTATTTGTTTGTTTGTTTGTTTTTGGCAGTGGTAGCACCCTTTTATCACAGAAATTCCCACACCTTTGGGTAATCGAGGATATTGCGTAAAGCAGCTATGATTAGAGTCATTGATAGCCGGTATCCTAAATGTCAGACCTATTGACATATTGGAAAAAAAAATTAACCAGTGACACACAAATAAGATACTTTCAAGAACGACAGACTGGACAAGGCTGAGAAAGAAAATAAACAAAAGGTAATACCAAGTCAAGACAAGACAAGAAATGATCAATTTCATATTTCAAATTCATTGTTAATGAAGGAGAAATCCAAGATTTTATGGATACCCTCTTGGGAGTAGGGAAAAAAAAGGAAAAAGAGCATTAGATATATATATATCTGTCTGTCTGCTCATTTTCTATAGGGAATAATAATAATAATAATAATAATGTAAAGGAGTTTAGCACTAGATTTAGACTTCAAATTAACACTGAATACTTGGAATATGACAAAGACGAAAAACAGAGATCTTGGCCTTTTCTTTTTCTTTCCTTTCTATCGAAATTGCGAGCAGAATATAAATGGCAGAATACCAAAGAAGAAACATAACCAAGAGTCTAGAAATCCGACAATACGAGGCTTTATTATTATCAGTAGTAATAACAGCGATTTGAGAAACCATAACACTGCCAAGGGTCGATAATAAAACGGTTTCCAGAGAAACAAAAAAAAGAGAATGAAGAATCTGTGATCAAACCTAGTAATTCAGCACATATTCAAGTGCCCAAATTCGTCCATTTATGACAAGTTAACAAGACCAAAAATATCAAAGTAATATCTAGAAGAAGAAGAAAAAAAAAGATATATACACATAAAACAGCAGGTATGAATTTGAATGATTATTAGAGTTAATTGATTCTGAAATGAAATATACTAATTTACATGTATATATGACTATATAAGCTCAAATTCTCGCAATGCTTCCGATAATTTGGCTACCACGTGTAGATAATTTATTGATGTTGAGGAACAGATAATATTGAAACAAGAATACTATGAACCTTGCAGTTCACAAGCAGGAGAATTCGAAAATATTAAAAGGGATTAGAAATATACTTGTAAATGTATACAAATATATATCCATAAAGAAGTGGAGACAATTGCAGTCAAGAGAAAAGATAAGGGGAAAAGCGGGGAGACCAGATTATCGTATATATTTTCTTAATAGGGTACAAATTTGGCTGGCAAGTTGTGTTCAAAAAACACCAAGTATTCTTAATAAGCCTTTTTTTTTGTTTTTTTTTTTTTTACCTCTTGCTCTCTATTAATTTTATTAAATAAATAAATATATATTATATATATTAACTCTGTGTGTGTATTTCTTGTACAGTCTTTTTGAAATATTAAATAAATTACTTAATGATTTTATATATATATATTTTTCAAAGTCTTGCCACTTTCTACAGCTAACCTCGTGATCGGAAACGGAATACGAAAGCGCTCTTGATTGCATTACTTTACCGCAATCAATAAGTCTTTCTCTGTGTCTCTTATATATCTTTCCTTTTTTCTCCCTCCCTCCCTCCCTCTCCGTCCCTCTCTCCCCTCTTTCAACCCCGCAAAATCAAGGCCACTTTCACTTCCTCTTCTTCCTCTTCCTCTTCTTCTTCCTTGTTTCAATCCAAGGGCCTTTTTCTCTCCTCCGTCTCCCCCCCTTTTTTTTACTTTTTTTTTCAAAAAAAACCCCCTTTGATATAAATACAACATTTTGAATTTTTCAGAGGTTTTTCTTTTTTTTTATTGTATTGTTATCATTCAATTAAAGAAAGTATCTTTGTTTCCTCACCATGATCAAGCGAGGCTCGCCTTGTGAAGACTACTGTGTCCTGGAACAAATCGGCAATGGTTCATTTGGCTCGGTTCACCGGGCTACTCACAAGACAAGCCAACGCACTGTACGTTTGTATAAAAATCAACAACAACAATATATATATACCTAAAAGAAAGAATAATAAGAATAAGAATAAGAATAAAAATAATATAATAGCAGAAAATCAACAAGGTCTCATTTTTTTTTAATTTGTTTCAATATTAGGTGGCAATCAAGATTATGAAACAAAAATACAGCAGTTCTTCTGAATGCTCACAACTACGTGAATACAAAACAATGAAGCATCTCCTATTACATCCCAATGTCGTCCAACTCTATGACACATTCTTGGGATCTACCAAAGAACTTTGCTTCATCATGGAGTACATGGATGGAGGTAATCTCTATCAATTTATCAAAGAACGCCGCGAGACGAGCAAGACCATCCTTCCATCCCAAGCACGCGACATTCTGTAATAAAGCTACATTCAAAAAAAATATACAAAAATATATATATATATATGTATATATACATGTGTCTGCTTTACATACATACATACATACATAGATGTATACCTTCCCAACCCAATTGTATTCATTGATCGCATATATAGGCGTCAGATTTTGGCAGCCTTGGCTCACATCCATCGTCAGGGTATATTCCACCGAGATATGAAACCAGAAAACCTTCTTCTCGGAACACCGGCTACACCGGACGGATCGCCTATCATCAAACTGGCAGACTTTGGACTAGCAAGAGAACTCAAAAGCAAGCCACCGTACACAGAATATGTCAGTACACGATGGTATGTAACACAAAGCACAACGATCTTTTTATTTTATTTTTATTTTTTAAATATTTGTACATACTACATACTACATACTACATGCTGCATAAAAATATATAAATAAATTAATGATATCTTTTTTGTTTCTTTCTTGTTTTAAATATAGGTATCGTGCCCCTGAAGTATTGCTACGATCATCATCGTATTCTTCACCAGTAGATTTATGGGCTGTAGGTGCAATATTTGCAGAAATAGTAACCCTCAGACCTTTATTTCCCGGGCAATCAGAAATTGACCAACTATATCGTATATGTCAATTGCTTGGAAGTCCCCGCAACAGCAGCAGCAATAACAACAACAATAACAACAACAACAACAACAGTAGCAGCAATAACAATAACAACAGTAGTACAAGTAATAATGGTGCAGGTCGTAAGCGGGGGCAAAAACTTGAAAAGAGACTCAGCCCAGGGTTCCCTCGCAAGAAATCAGATGCAGCATTACGTGCACTGGAGCCAACTAATACTGCCACTATCACCAATCAAATCTCTGTCGTATCAATCACAACAGATGAACCCAGCTGTGAAGAATGGCCTGAGGGCGTTAAGCTTGCACATAAAATAGGGTTTTCTTTCCCAGCTGTAAGTAATTTCTTTATTTTAAAACATTAATGTTAATATCAATATCAATACCTGTGTCTATGCATATTCTCCTATAAAAATAATAATACCAAAAAAAAAATATAGTAAAAAAAAATCTCCCAAGCAATTTATATAAATATTTGTAACTAATACAATTTTTTGATATTATTATTATTATTATTATTATTATTATTATTATTATGTAGATATCTCCACGTCCACTCCAGTCAGCATTACCAATGGCTTCACCAGGATCTGTAGATATCATACGACAGCTACTGCATCTTAATCCAGCCAAACGACTCACTGCAGCAGAAGCTTTACTGCATCCAATTTTCCTCGAATCATTGGACCCAGAACCAAAAATACCACAACCTACAGACGAACTCAAACAAAAATCAAACCAGGAGCCAAAAAAGACAGAGTTCAGACATGAACCTAGACCTGACCAAACGAGACCTGACCAAAAACAGGAGCCAGTGGTTGAAGAGGAACTTGACCTTGCTATCAAGGAGAACACCACCAACACCACCACCAACAATAACAATAACAACATTATCAATAATAATATTAATATCAACATCAATAATAATATTAATAATACCAATATCAATAATACCAATAATGATAACAACAATAATAATAATAATAAACCTTCAAAGAACAAGACTTCAGTCACTCAAGAGATCAAAGACGCCTTTAGACTCTCAAAGGCTAGGATGAAAGACACTACCCTCAGAAAGAAAGTCGCAGTTGTCAATACCAAAGATCCAGACGCCGAGAAACGAAAAGAGGATCCAAAAGGTGCGTTTGATTTGCCTTCAATACCCCTCTCCCCGTTTGAGCTCTGTTCAGATTGGGACCCTGGAACGATCGACATGATTTTGTCAGCAGCAGCAGCAGCAACAACAGCAGAATCAGAACCTGGTACATCAGATACGAGTCCTGCACATCAAGACACTCCTCAAAAGGATTTGTCTAAAGAAGAAGAAAACGAAAAAGAAGAAAAAAAAAGTGTTGAAGAGTTGAATATCGAACCAAGTCCACACACTCCTTTGGCTGCTGAATATGCTCAACTAGACAATGACAGTCTGGAGAGCATGATTGATCGTCTCTTGACAGAAATGGACACAATTGGAAGAGACGGCTGGCCTCCTGAAACAGAAGAAAAAGCAGAGACAGAGACAGAAGTAGAAGCAGAGGCAGAAGGAGAAGCAGAGGCAGAAGCAGAGGCAGAAGCAGAAACAGAAACAGGCACAAAAGTGGAACCAAAAGCAAAATCAAAATCAAAAGCAACAGAGGAAAAGGAGGAGGAAAATGAAAAAGAAGAAGATGATAAAGAAAGATACGAAGTGGAAGAGGATGAAGAAGACGAGGAAGACGACGAGGATGAAGAAGAAAAGGAAGTTCGTAGAACTGGGTTTGAGAGTACATCTCTTCCACTCCAAGATCAAATACGAGCCTACCGTAATCCAGAAAACAACAGCAGTAGTTTTAGTAATCGGCTGAGCCTTACACTAGGGTTGTATTGGCAAGACCAACCAATCGCCCTTGAACGTAAAAGTGAGGATTCATGCATGATGTCACGGCCTGGTTCGGGCATTCTGCTACAACATCAAAATCAACATCAACATCAACATCAACAACAGCATAAGCATAAGCATAATCATCAACAGCAGCAGCAGCAGCAACATCCCTTCATTACCCTTCGTCCTAGTATATCCACGCCTCTCCAATCTGCCCACAGCAGTCGTATCGGAAATATCAGACAAAATGTACATAATACCAAAAAACCATCACCATCATCAGCGTCACCGCCACCACAAAGACCAATAATACCAAGACCACGGCAATCACAGCCACACACAGGGTTTGGTAAACTCAATCTGTTTGGACTACGTAAGAGTCTAAAGAGTGACAAGGCGGCTCCGATAGTAGTAGTAGCACCCGAGCGCTCTGTACATAAAGAAGAAACCCCTCATCATCTTCCGGAAACTATCCTTCGAACCGAAAGTTTCCCAACCGATCTCTTTCAGCAACTTGCTTATCCTACTGCTACTACTGGTGCTGCTGTTACTACTTCTGCTGCTACAGTCGAGACCATCACATCTGCCACTTCCAAACCTGCAACCACAACCACAAGAACCATCATTGATGACAATCTTTCGAATGCTGTTCAAACTCAACGTCTCAAAGACAGTTTCGTGGATCCCTTTCCTCCTACGTCTCTTCATGTCAAACCAAAAAAATCTAGTCTTTTAAGCTTTTGGGCTAAGAAGCAACAACAACAACAACAACAACAACAACAACAACAACAGCAGCAGCAGCAGCAGCAAGGTGGTAGTGGTGGCAATGGATTACCAGTGGGAGGGAACTCACTTCCAATGGTTGGAAGCAATGGATAGACATTTATTTATTTATTTATTTATTTAGTTATTTTATTTTCTTCTTCTTCTTCTTCTTTGTTTCTCTAAAGTGGTATACCCTAATGTACATAATTCTTTATTAAAGAAAAGCCACGCGTGTTTTTATAAACTTTCCTATATATTATCCTGCATCATTATAAAGCAAATCCAGAAAAAAAAAGTGAAATGAATGGTGATAATCACAGTACAAGAAGCACAATAAGAAGGTGGATAGAAAGAATGTGATACACAGCTGTACATACGTTTGTACATGTGTTTTGACCTCTACTTCTTCTTACTTCTCTCTGTTCTGAATCTTTTTCTTTCTTTTGTGTGTATGTCAAGATATTTGAACAAGAAGAAGAAAGCATATAAAAGTATTGAATGCATCAAATGGCACAAATCAAAAGGTTGTTTTTTTTATATATTTTATTTTATTCACTATTGCCAAGCCACTACTACTCCACTTCACTCCACTATACTATATATTATCTCAACGATTGACACAACTGCATGTCCATACATCATGACAAAAATAACACCGTATGGTAATATACCTATCTATCTATCTAAATGTATATAGAAGAAGGAGAGCAGGTTTCAATTAGGCAATACTCACTCACCTAGATCCTCTTATTGACGTCTTCCCCCTCTTTTTTTTGTTCTCTTTTAAAATAATAATCATGTAATCATTCAAACATTGTTTTGTTTTTTTTTTCAAAAAAAAAAAAAAGAACAGCAAAGACTAGACAACATTGAACGCAATCGCCAGATTTTAGCCCAGTTCAATCTTGAAGAAGCAAAACAAGCATGTCGTAATGACATTCCCAATACACCAACACCACTGCCTAAAAGGTAACACACACACATAAATATATATATAAAAGATACAAGAAAATAAAAAAATAAGACGTTTATACATGTATACAAGGTGGATTATTATTATTAACATATTGAATATTGAATAAATACTGAACCCCCTTCCTTATCACCCCTCATAACCCTCCCTCTCTTTCTCTCTCTCTTCTCCCCTGGGTTTTCTTCTTATTGCACTCTCAGGATATCAAAAAGAACTTTTAAAGAATCCACTGGCAATTCAGAATCTACAGTAACAACACTAACACTAACAAGAACAGCAGCAGCAGCAGCAGCAGCATCGAAATCAAAAGCCAAAAAGATCAAGACAACTCAAAGCGAAAGGCCAAAGAGACAATCATCTAGACTACGGGGAGTGGAGCCGGTCCCGTTTGTATTGGTAGAAAACGACAATGGGATCGAGAGAGGTAGACTGGCGGTATCCGGGACTGCGGGTGATGCCATCATAGACGAGGAATTGTGGGACGGGAAATTGCTAAAGGCAGACGAATACTTTGACAAGGAGACGTGTGAAAAGGCCATACGGACTCAGGGTCATTTTCTGGGCTGGATCAATCCTGCCCTGATCGAGAAATATGAATTTGAGTTGTCTGCGTCAGAAGCATGGGAGAAAAACGGGGGAGGCAAGTTTTCCTTTACTGATCCGCTCAACAACAAGAAAAAGGGGAGCACAAGTAAGATCAATGCAAAGGTAAGTAAATTTACAAAAAAAAACGATGCTGGTGCTGGTGCTGCTTGTGTTATACATGTGCAGTAAGAACAATAAGAATAATAAGAATAATAGAAAGGTAGAGAAAAGGAGAGAGATAGAGAGAGGGGGGAAGATTATATTATATTATTGTATTTAATGAAATTTGTCTGTGTAACTTATAGGCAGTAGCCCAAATGATGTTTAAAAAGAACCCAAACATGTACTTTTACCGACACAATGAACCAGGCGTGGTTAGTGACATACATATACATATAGTATTTCAAGTTTACTTATTAAAATTATTTAATTTATCCTTAGGGCCAATGGACAGGCGATTGGACTGCTGAAGAAAAGGAAATATTTCTAAAGGTAAGTGGGTGAATTGAAATACAAAGATGCATTAGTTGTTTGTTTGACTAGTATTTTTTTATTATTTTTTTTTTGATTATTCTACATCCCAAAAAAAAATATGAGACAAAAGTTAAATCCATTTTTCTGTCTTCTCTATTACTACTATATAGGTGGCACGAGAACATGGCTGTGGTGACAAGGTAAGATAGACAATCAAAATAATAATAATAATAAAAATGTATAACAAAGAAAGAAAGACAAATCCCCTATTTAACCATGTGGCTTGTAGTGGGGTGTATTTGCTAGTTATATTCCACATCGGTAAAACAACAACAACAGATAATAATAATAATAATCGAGGATAGAATGCACTTGCATGGATATATATATATATATATATATGCGTGTGTGTGTATCCGAGTGCATTTTATGGGGATATTGTACTTAACTAATATGTAAAATATTAGGGTTGGCTACCAATGCAGTAGTAAGTATAATCCCTTTAATATCTCTTTCTTTATTTCTTTCTCTTATTTTCTTCAAGGGAGTGTATTGAATAGATATATGTGTGCATGTAGATGTATATAAGCACAGGGGTGGTTTATAGGTTTTCTAGTTCAAAAATAGAAAGAAATGAAGAAATGAAATAATCGATTCTAATGCTTCTATTTCCTGAAATTATTTTAGATTTCTATCGTAGTGAACTTCTCCCTGCTGGACTGATTTTTGACAAGAACTATGAGGTGAGACGACAAGAAAAAGAGTGTGTGGGGAGAAAAAAAAAGAATGATTATGAAAACCAGCATTGAATTTGATATTTAACGATATACATTGATTTGTATTTATATTATTTTCTGGGGGTGTTTTGTTACATATATGTATGTATGTATTTGTTATTATTTGTTCTAGTACACACCTTCTGGCAGACCCATCTATGTAGGTGGCCGTCGGTCTGGTCCATAAGTATCATGCTTTTATTTCTGAGAGTCTTAATGGAATACAAGACATGGTATGATATTGCATACAAAAAAAAAGAAAGTAGTCTTTATATACCTGCTTTGTATATTTATATATATATAAAAAAAGAGTAAGCTTAAAAGATCAATAGCATGTGCTCTTTACAATATATACATTTGTATATTCTTTGGTGCGTTTTGGGTGTTTCGATGCAGGTTTAAAGGGGAGGGAGGAGTATGCTCTGTGGATGTATTTTGACTTGGAAATCTATATGTAAAATGCACAAAATTCCCTTTATATATATATATATATAAATGTAGTTGAATCTTTTTTTTTTTATTTTATTTTTCATTAGAATTCTTATTCTTATTGGTACATTTAGCTAAAGTCAAAATGAGACCAGACTCAACAGGGTCTAAAAGGAAAAATAAAGAAGCTTTTTTTTGGTGTTGTAATTTGAACGGTTGGTGTAAAACCATGTGTTGAGGGAATTGACATTTTCATTATTTCAAATTACAGAAATTAGCTATTGTATACACATAGTAGATATGGACATTCCCGTGTAACTGGAACAATAAGAATAAGAATATCCTATCCGTCAATACATAAAAAAAATGATACCTTCCCCCCTCCCTTTCGCTCTCCTCTATCCCTCTTCCCAATTTACAGTAATTTACGATGTAATTTACACTTTAAACCAGTGCTTTTTTCTTTCTTTCTTTCATTATCTGTTTATAAAATTGAGTATTTCACCTAGACAATGATTTTTTTTATTAATATTAACATTTTACTTTATTTTATTACATAGAGTATAAGAATGAAATATCGAAATCAGAGTTTGAAGCTATAAACGAGGGATCTATACAATTCTGGATCTGGTAACTTTGATTAACCTGCGATAATAAAGATATATATAATAAGAAAGAAATTCTGGGCGTGTCAATAGACAAACAAAAATATATGCAACATACATACATTCACGCACACAGATACCTATATATTTCCAAGGCAAGTAAAAGAAAAAGAAAATGCACAGGGGTTTATTGTGTATAAAAGTCTGATCTCTAGTAGGATTTTCTTTTCTTTTTTCTTTTTTTTACTAAAAGGTGCTATTATAAATACTATTATAAACTCAAGGGGAGATTAATGGATCTATAGAAAATGGGGACCCTGTACTTGGGGAAGACACATCGGGAATGTGTCAAGATCTCAGTAACCAAGAGTAAAAATGGGACGATTCAATTTCCCTTTTTTTTTCTAGCTTTCTTTCTTTTATAATTGCGGGTAAACATCTTAGAATGGTCTGTTTATCTTCGTCTGTTTATTTGGCTATCTAGATATCCCACCTTACTATTATTCTTCTTTTATTACCCCAAATAAAAAAAAAGTATAATATAAGAAAAGGGAGTGCTATTGTTTTAAAATAATTCTTATTATTATTTTTTACTGACAATCTCCCTTTTATAGCATATCACCGAGATGGAATGCAAGACCAGAAACAAGACATGGCATCACACATATATTTTATTTTATTTTGAACGAGTGTAATAATAAGAATTAAAGCATAAATTTGTTCATTTATTTTATAACCAAATAAAAATCCTTTCAACTAATTTGATTTACAAGAAACAAAAAAAAATTATATAGGTATATATTTATTCGTATATTTGTAGTATGTGTATGTGTATGTAAAACAAAAACAAAAGCTTAGTGTGTAGAGTGTATGTATTAAGATGCCAAAAATAATCTGCAGGTAAAAACTCAATAAGCACTTTTAGAGATAGACTCGTAGGAAAACACCAAGCCAAGCAAAAACAAAGCAAAAAAGAAGGGGGGGGGGTTACAAAATGGGAGGGGTGGGGTCAAAACAAGGGACATAAAATGAGGAGTATGAGGAAGTGTATGAGGAAGTGTAAAAAGTAATAGTAAGACTAAGAGGAAGACTAGGGGAAGAGGAGGAAGAGGAGGAAGAGAAAATAATACAATGTAATACAATGTAATGTATTCAACTAATCCAGAATAAATCAGTATAGATTTGCAGTGTATCTGCGCCAATTATATATTATTATAATTATTTTCATTCAGCATGAACATTAAGAGTTATATTTTCCTCATTAGGATAATATTCATTCAAGACACCACATGTATTATTTGCCTGTGCGCTGTCATATCTATATATATATAAGCCATTAAAAAAAATTGCAAAAGGATTTTACGCCAAAAGAAATAAAGTATAAGAAAAGGATGACGATAATTATAAATAAATATTAGACAATGAATAGAATGAATAGAATGTTCAGATTATTATCAAGAACAAATGTAAAATAGATTTAAAAATTACTAAAAGACAAAAAAATGACTACCAAACCAAAGAGTACTCTTATTTCTGCTTATTTTGTTTGCAATAGATAATATATACACATTTGGAGGCTCAAACATAGCTTGTAAAGAACAAGAACAAGAACAAGAATAGAGTCTACTTTTTTGATGATTTATTTTGCCAAGGTGTTGAATGACAGAACCCAAAGGGAGGTGTAAGGGGGGGAAAAGAAAGAAAGAAAGGACTAGAGTGCAAGAGTAAGAGTAAGAGTAAGAGTAAGAGAGGGGAGGAGGAGGAGGGGGCGTAAAAGAAAGAGAAATGCATATCAATAGGTAAAAATGTCAATATCTCAAACGTATTTGGAGGAATGTCCAAGCCCCAAAAAAGAAACCAAAGATGCATATTGATATCAATATGTAGCATAAACTGTGTACAGATCCTACTTCCTTAAAAGAAAGAATTGCATACTTGATACACAATCGATCACAAATATTAAAAATAAAAATAACCTATTTGAATACAACGGTATTTTGTTAAATCACAATATTTTGATGAAATGCTAATTATACAGTATTGAAAAGAGTGAGTGAGTAAGTGAGTGAGTGAGTGAGTGAGTGAGTGATTAAATTAAATTAAATTAAATTAAATTAAATTAAATTAAAATAGAATAAAATAAATGTATTTTAGTAATATAAATATAATATACTTACACCTACACCTACACCTACACACACATATATATATATATATTTGCTAGGGAGTAAATTATAAATCAATAGGGTCATTAATCTCAAGACAGGCTGTGTGTCTAGATAATTTACCATATAAACTCTATCTACTAACCTTTCTTTTAGTATTATTGTTATTGTTATTGTTATTTTTTGCATTATATATATGTATTATATAAAAGTTATGACTGTAATTCTAATTCTAATTGTAATTCTAATTGTAATTGTAACAAAATTTTATAAGAAATAAATATAATAAAAGAATTATACTTGTGGCACATTACAAACAAATAACCAAGCTTTTATATATATATATATATTTATTTATGAAATAAGAAATAAATTCATAAATTTGACAAGGAATAAATCAAATCAACGAATACCAGATTCGATACTTTATTATTTTAGAACCTTCTCCTTTTTAGCTCAATCAAAAGGATAATATGCCTGCAAAGCAAAGCAAAGCAAAGCAAAGCAGAAAAGATAGTCCAAATATGCCTTTACCCCAGAAAGAGATAGATAGAAAGAAATAGATAAATAAATAAAGACAGAGGAAGGGGTACAAATATATAACTCGAGGGTAACAAAAATAATAATAAAAAAAGAAGCCCTTGCCTATTTTTGTTGCATATAAAAAGACATTGGATTTTCTTTTTTATAATTTTTTTTCTTGCTTATTCGATCGATAGCTATAGTTCTTTCTTAATTTCAACCAAAGAGCTCTTTCTCTCTTTCTCTCTTTCTCTTTTGACCTCTGATTTCACAATGGATATCAAGAATTTGCTTTGTCCTACTCTAGACTCGGATGATCATTTTATCTACAAAAACTATTCACCAGTCTACTCTAAAGCCTCGCTTAATATACATATTGAGACACAGTACCGTCAGCCGTCGGTTGTCTGGTCATCAACCTCATCTACACCCTCGTCCCCTCAAAGCATGAACAGCTCATTAGCATCAGTTAGTTATCCAGCATATTCACCTGTCTCATCTCCACCTACGTCGCCATTGCCGTCACCTTCCCTTTATCCACTTAGCCAGCCAATCACATTAGCACCAAATACATCAGCAACTGTACCAGCAGCAGCAGTAGTAGTAGGTCGGCAGTGTAATTCAATTGAGACCAATAGTCGCCAGCATACACGCACACCATGGACTCCAGAAGAAGATTTTCTACTGCAGCAAGGCTTCATGCAAGACCTGTCCTGGGCCATGATCTCGGCTACCTACCTTCCCCATCGATCCCGGGGCTGCTGCTGGGGTCGATTCAAAACCTTGCAGACAAAGGAGATCGAGCAGCGTGAATGGTCTAATGAAGACGACAAGCAGCTCATGTTGGTCATTAAGAACCACGCCAGACTGTTCAAGCAGGCTTGGAAATCAGTCGCACAAAATATGAAGAACCGTACCTGGAGAGAATGCGAATTTAGATCAATCAAGTACACTAGTCTTATTCGCAAAAGACGCTCGAGGGGAATCTAAAGGCCAAAAGCAAGAACAACCGAATTTTTGACCAACCAAAGATGCACCATACAAAAAACAAACAAACAAGATCCATTGATGCATCCGTGCGCACACAGTGACAAATCTTTCCTTTCACTTTTTTATTTTACCCTCTATTCTTTTTTCGATTTCCCTTTTTCTCTTCTTCTCCTGATTCTCTCTCTCTCTCTATATATATATATATTTCATATCATATTTTATTTTTATTTTTCTTTAGGAATTTGTTGACCAAATTCACCTCCAATTCTTATTTATTTATTGTCTTACAACTGCTTGTCAATTGTAGCCAATCTATCCTTTTTAGAGAAGTCTTTTCGGTCTCTTTATTTGTTTATTTATTTATTTCTTTTTTGGATATTTGAAATGAGCTTGTTTATTTCAATTGTAGAATTCAAAAACAAACAAAAAGAGAGACAAACTACGTGCTTTAAATTTTCTCAATTTCACCTTTCTTTTTCTTTTTTCTTTTTTAGGATACGTCCTTATCTATACACACACTTCTTTATGTATTAAAATGATTTCAATTATTGATAATTGGATTTAATACTTCTTTTTTTTATTATTATTTATTTGATATTTCGAATTTCATTATTTCTTTTATGTTTGTGTGCCTGCACACTTTTGGGATGATAAAAAGAAGGTTTACCCTTTTATTTTAATTTTCATTTTATATATCTATAATAAGAATACAAGAAGCAAAAAAAAAGAAAAAGAAAAAGGAAACAGATATCTATTGACTGTTAAATAATGTGTGTTACAAGTGTATGTAATGTATATGAAAGGGTGTAGCTGTGCAGGCTGGTGAAAAAGTAAACAAATAAAATAAAGCAAATAGAAACTATATCTGTATCTGGATCTGGATGTGTATTCAATGAAAATTTGTCGATATTGGTGACTATAAAAATATATATTCGATGGTCATTCTTCTCCTATCATAATAGATTGTCCCTTGATCCACATCAGCACTAATAATCGAATGTGCTCGATCGAATATGTACATTAATACAGAAAACAAGGGACAATATAATTATATAATTATCTGCACGACAAGCAAAAAGAAACTAAAGCTACATATTGTTGTACTATGTTATTGTCACCTCAAGATTTTTACTACTACTACTATTATTAATAATAATAAGAAAGAAATAAAATCAAACAATAAAATAAAAGAAATCTTTCTAGAAACACTCTCTTTTTGTATTTCATTACAAGAAGTATATTGGTACTGAATTCAAAGATATTATAAAGATATTATTGTTATGGATCTAGATACAAAAGATTTGTGGTTCTGAGCTAGTCAGGGAAATTTGTCTAGATCAATCAGGGGAGGACAGGGGAGGAGGAGGAGGAAGGCTCTTGTTAGATAAATAAATAATAAAGATACTTTCCCTTCTTTTGTTTCAAATACATATATATATTAATTTATTTTTAAACAAGATGTTTTTAGCTTCTGTGTGCGCGCTACTATTTCCCAGTTATTTGGAATTTTTGGCGTTCTTGGCTATTTACACACACATGTATATAGAAATAAATTAATGAATCAAATTACCATAGAAACTATTATTAACTATTAATGATTTAATAGTTAATTATAATTATAATGAATGAAACATAGCTTGGTGAATATAGTATTTTCTTTTTCATATAACATTTGTTAGTAGTCTCAGCTACTTTACTCATAACTATACACTAGTAATTACAGCTTCATATTTCATCGATATCTCTATACTTACTAAATTCTATATATACATATTCTTTGTTAGATTCAATTCAAAGAGCCTATGAGCGAACCAACAAAAAAAAGCCAAAAAATGATGATATTCTTATATACAAAGTTCTCTAATTACATATATACATATGAGTTAAATATCATCTACAGAATGTAATACAAACTCAAAATAAAATAAAAATATAAAGAAACTGCTTCTTTACGGATAAACATAGGTACATACATAGGTACATGCATACATGCATATGTATGTATATTACACTCCTAGCACCCTGTATACATATATATATATATGTATATTCTTTTCAGTCCCTTGTAACCTAATTCATCTCAAAGTCAACCCTACTTTATGACATTTTTCTTGCCCTTCTTCTTCTTCTTCCTCTTTCTTTTTTTTTATATGACATTGGTATTATCAAATCTCAACTCTTAATTATCAATTATTCAATCAATTATAAATAATTGGTTTACCATTTGTTCTTATATCCAGGAATATATATATTCTGAATTCCATTCAATTGTTCAACAAGAGACTGAATATAATGTATATCATATTTAATTAATACATTTATCAGTATCATTATTCTTATTCTTATTACTCTGCCGGTAATTGATGTTTTATATATATATATATATATAAATGTTGAATATCATATGTCATTTCATTAAGAAATAATCTATTGATTTAAACTGGTATTTTTCATTTACTATTATTATTATTATTTTTAGTAAAGTTAGATTAATTGTAAAGAGTCAATTAGGGAAGAATAAGAAAAGCTTATATTCTATATTTAAACTATAAATATTCTTCCAACTCTTGTGAATACCATTAGACTGGTCTATATGAATATTATTATTTTTTTTGCGATTTTATAGTAATTGTTAAGTAAATATCTATTCCAAATACAAGTAATATTATCATTTTGTTGGCCTAATTCTAAGGATAACTTGACATATAAAAAAAATTCTTACAAGAAGAAAATAATGAAAGAAATTTTAATGTTAATATTATTACTATCACCATACACAAGTACAGCACAGTATAGAACAAAGTTTAAATCTAAAACATCATAATTGGTTCTTTCAAAAAATAAGATGAAAATCCTTATGCGTTTCATTAGGGTGCTCAAATGGCAATCTCTAATTCAAGAGGCCTACAAACCTCTTTCAAAAAAAAAATTTAAAAAAAAAATCCTTGTCAGGAATTAAACTATAAATGCTATAAAGAACATTATGAGAATTCACCTTTTTATATATCCATGCTCCATAAATAACAGCAATAATAATTGTGTGGTATTTGGAATATAGAATGCAAATATTTACTTTTGATCATAAGCAAGCTATGTGTATTGTGAATCAAATTTTCATATTTATCTTCAAAGATTTGTACAATTATCAACTTCTTAACCCGACACTCACAACATACATTTTATTTTGACCAAAGAAAATTCAAGGATATACAAAGATTAACATGACCTTCTTACCCTACTATTTCAATATACAATATAACAAATTGGGTTAAATTTAGTAGAGAACTAGAAGTCAAGCAAATTACATTCATTGACCAAAGTTTTGACAGCGGTTCAAATCACGGACTTTCTCATATAATTCCTTTTCTTTTTCTTTTTTTTTTGACCCTCCGCATCTGGTTCATTTTTTTTTTTTAAGAAAAAAAAACCTTGCTACAGAATGAGATCGTCTATTTTATTTTATTTCTATTGGGAGGGGAGAGGGGTAATTTTTTTATATTATTATTATTATTTTGGCTTCTTTCTTTTGTGACAATTAACCAAGAACAGTTTAGTCGACTGCACATCTCATCACCAGCACCAGCACCAGCACAATCAACATCCTTTAAAAATAAGAAGAAGAAGAAAAGAGTCTTGGATTTGATTTTTATTATATTTTCTACAAAAAAAAGAAGAGGTTTAAACTGTAGTAAATCCTCTTGTCGTATCCACAGTACATCAAAAGATCCTTCTACACCTCTTCCAACTTTAAACTTTTCTGTTTTCAATTTCCTTACTCTTGGAGAAACACTCAAAAAGAAAAAAAAAGAAAGAAAGAACAAAAGGCACAACCACAACATCAGTAGCAACAGCAACAAAATATCTCTTTTTTTTTAAAAAAAAAAAAAAAGAAAAGAAAAGAAAAAGAAATAAAGAACAAAGGAAACTTGTTTCTAATGTCAAGTGATGCACTCAAATTATTTTGGCCATCTCATATTTGCACACCCAACAATCGCAGAGGATTCCTCATTGGTTGGTACAACTCCCACAATACCATCTGCGTTGCTACAGTGATACAGAATGTCGAGGTTAGATTGATGAGATTTGTTATCTTTTCTTTCTTTTGGTTAACAAATAAACCGAATGTGATATACAAACGTACTCTTTATTAGTTACATGATCTCCAAACAATTCTTTCGGAATTCTGTAGATCAGGAAATCATTCTGAATTCTCGCACATTAACAAGGTCTGCAAAGTACCACCAAAGATTTTGGGAGTAATGTTGGATGCAAAAGAAAAATCAAAGCGTGTAGAGACCAATGGTACGTGCCTTTTCTTGTTCTTCTTGTTCTTCTTCTGGTGCTTGTATCTTTGAATATATGCTGCTCTTTATACATATAAGATTATGTAGTATTTAAATATCTATTTTTCTTCATATTTAAAGAAAGAATAAAAGAAATGTTCATTAAAACAAAAGTAACCCTTTTTCTTCCTTTACAAACAACACGCATATGGATCATCGTCACTATCATCATTACCATCATAATGATACTGATAATAACTAAAATGATGATAATAATGAAAATGAAAATGAAAAAATAAAAAAAAAATGATATATATAAAGGCCATGACCCTTGGATTACGGTAAACTTGGACGATGCCTATGTTCCTGTACCTCTGTAAAGTCTTATTACATACATGCATAAAAAGAGAACAAGCAAATTATCCCTTTTTGTTATATATATATATATATATATATATATTTTAATTTTGAGCAATTTTTTTATATTAATATATATATATATATTAATACTTATGTATATGTATACATGTATGTATGTATTTTTTTTTTATTTGAATAATTTTCTGTAGAACTCGATTCCACAGAGGCAAACCAGAACTTATTGAATTGTACGAAATCATATTTTACGATCAACCCAACCCAAAACGCCTGCAATTCTTATCCCACGATCCACTTGAGCTTGACATATCCGCCAAAGAAATATCAGAATCACGACCAGACGGGCCTCTTCTTACGCCTGCCAACAAGCACCCAACGACCATTGCAAATATTGAAAAAATCATTGAATACAGTCACATCCACACAGGATGTACCACACAAGTTTCTGATGATCTTGTATCTGTACTAGTCCAGGTAAAAATGAGAATGTCATGTAATAGTAATAGTGATAGTAGTTGTAGTTGTAGGCTCATTTTATTTATTTATCACTATTATTTATTCGTCTATTAATTGTCGAGGGGGGGATTTGCAGATCAACTCTTCATATTATTTAGAAATAGGCATCGAAGCATCTCGTGCAAAACAATTAAGACAATCTAAACAGCCAGACTCTTTTGGTTGGATCTGGACAGTTTCGGAATCCTTTGCTTCTCACCTTATACATGTCTGGATGATCGGAACCATAAGAAAGATCTTCCAGACAATCAAAACTCTTATTGTTGGACCTATCTTGTGTGTTTCGTTTGTATTGCTACTAGTGGCCGAAATATTTCTGTATTCTTTAAACGTCAGACTACCAAAGGGTTTATTGAACACGGTAGCGATAAAAGACTTGTCTGCTGCAGGTAAGAAAGATTATTTAGATGATTAGTAATCTATACTATCAGTATTTTAGTTTTGTAACTACTACGATATTATTAACTATTATGGCTATTATATTACATCTATCTATCTGTATTCACATTCACATTCATTATTAGGTCAACAAGTGGATCTTAGACTGCAGCAACTTTATTTCTGGCCTAGACAATACATGATGTTACGCGAGCGTAATAGAGCAAATACAGCCGAGACAAGAGCATATTATATCAGGTGTGTACTTTATTATTAATCTTTTTTTTTTTTGGGGGGGGGGGGGGGGGGGGGAAGGAGGAAGAGGAAAGAACATAAGGTTTAGACTAAGGAAAGAACAACTAATGTAGTCGTTTGATGGTCAAACAAACAAACCTTTTTTTTTTATTTAGTTTTTACAACAGTATGTGGCTCGTTGCAAATGATATTATCATTGGGTTGGCGATCGGTTCTTTTCTAATGAGTAACAGCTACAGCGCAGCAAAGGTACTTCATGGCGCATTGAATGTAAGACAAAATAAAATATATAGGACAATGATAATGGTATAACCAGTAGATATTTTTATATATATCTACTGTATATGCTAACCTTGTTTGCTTGCTTGTGTTTCAAAAAAGAAATACACAGTGGAATCTTTGCAATCAATGATGCTATGGTTTTTGGAATCTCCTGCAGGACTCAAACTAAACCACGAATTAGGCAGTTTCTTGAGTGAATTGTTCTTGTGGTTGATTCGTCTATGGACAGGCAAGTGAGAAAGAAAAGACAGAAAGAGATTCTTGTCATTGTGCTTAGCATTAATTAATTGGTCAAATATCAATATTTTTTATTTTATTTTGGATCTATCTATCTATCTAATTAACAATCTATTCTTATTCTTGTTCTTGTTCTTGTTTTTGGTAATCAGACTGCGTGCAGCTTATTGAACCTTACACGCCTCAAATTGTCCACCTCATTGGTCTGTCTGGCGTATTTGGAGTGTCTATGATTATCTCTCTGTCATCAGACTTTTTGGCGTTTATGACACTTCATGTATATTGTTTCCACATGGTTGCTGCACGTATATTCAACTGGCAACTCTTAATACTTCATTCTTTGTTTAACCTTTTCCGAGGTAAGTAAGATCAATATATTAAACAGTCTTTTAAGAATAATATCAAGCACACTAACACATGTATACATAGGCAAGAAGCGAAACACACTACGAAATCGTATCGATTCATGCGACTATGCTTTGGATCAACTTTTGTTAGGAACCTGTCTATTCACCCTTTTGACATTCTTGTTTCCAACTGTACTGATTTACTATCTAACATTTGCTGTGGTAAGTTCCTCTATTATAATATATAATTAATTAATTAATTAATTAATTAATTAGAATAGAAGAAAGAAAGAAAAAAAAAGACAACCTTAATAATAAATGTCTGTCTGTCTTTTGCCTTTTTTTCTTTCTTTCTCAAGGGACGTGTGGGTGTAATATTTCTTCAGGCAGTTATGGAAACATTGCTAGCATTTTTTAATCATTTCCCATTGTTTGCAATAATGTTAAGAGCAAAGGATCCAGATAGACTGCCAGGTAAGCAAGATTTATCTGACATATAAAAACCACGATTCTTTTTTGTTTTGGGATGTGTGTGTTGTTGTTTTGGTAAATATCTTACACGAGTTTTTGCTTCTCTTCTCTTATTTTATTTTTCTTGTGTATATTTCTGTACTTGTATTTGTGCTTGTGTGTCTATGTGCCTCTGTGTAAAGGTGGTCTCCAGTTTGATATATTTGACCATAACAATTTCCTAAAGAAACACCACCCATTATATTACAGATTGAAAAATCTCAAGATAGGATGTCAAAAGCTTTGGAGTACGTTTTGGGAAACCAAAGGTAAAAAACCAGTAATTACACCAGCTCCTTCTGCTTCACGGTATACAAAGAGTGGACGCTCGCTTGGACAAAGGACTAGAAGAAGAATCTCGGTCGGATCATCATCCTCATCATCATCTGCTGCTGCTGCTGTATCTCGGGCAAAAGCAAAAAAGTCTCAGATACAATTGGATAAGACGGATAGTCGGAGAGGAACTTATCTGAGAATGCGGGTAAGAGACTAATTAACAGATCACTCTATAGATTAGTCTTTTGGTGTTTTCTTTTTGGATTTTATGGTTCTTGGTCTCGATTCAAAGCATAGGGTTTGACGGCTTGTCTTTTTTTATTTATTTATTTCTTATATCTAAATTAGAATATGCCAATTCCTTTTGGGGCAATATTCTTTCAGTACATGCTGTTGTGGAAGAGATTGAGCGTACACTACTTTTCTGTTTATGTTTTCAAATGCCTTTTATGTGGAGAGCCCATTAAGCCCATTCCAAAGCTTCAGGTAAGACCCACTTTCTTTTTATTAATTTTTTTTCTTTATGAAACATATGTATTAATAAGCCATATTCAAGTATCCAATGTTACCGGACAAAAGGTAAATATTTGCCTTTTACTATGTTTGTTTGAATACATGAACCAGAATTGCAACTCGCTTTATAGAATACTTACTTACTGATTGACTTTTATATATATATATCTAGACCTTCCTTAAGGGTCGTCTGGCGGTCGTTAAAATCTAACTTGTGGGATAAATAACTTTAATGAAACAAAATGGAATAGAATAGATGAATTTATATATCATTATTTCCTTTTGTCTTTTTGTTTTTGTTTTTATTTTTTTGACACCAATTAATTTTATATATTTTATAGAATAAAATATAATAGAATATGAACAATTACTGCGCGTGTAAGACATGTACTTGTCCAAAATAAGCTACAGCCGTAAAGAAGGTAGAGAGAGAAAACAAAACTAGACGCATGTTTTTTAGACGTAGGACAATAACCAATTGTTATATTCTACAAAGTTTATTCAAATACATCTTTAGAGAAAATAGACTGTTCAACAATAAACTATACAAGCTTGATATTATTTTTTCCTTGTTTTTTTTTATTGATATACATGAAAAAAAAATGAAGAATAAGAATAAGAATAAGAATAATAGTAAGAATTGGTACATATACATATACATACACTCATATATGTATATACATATAAATAAATAAGTATGCGTTTTAGAAGAATAAAAGAAAAAAAAGCGTCTTCCAGAGAGATTTTCCTTTATCTTTTTGTGCATGCGTTACAGTACGAGTCTGGGTGTGTGAATGTGGGTGTGAGAGTGGGTGTGGGTGTGGGTGTGTGTGTGTGAATGTAAGTGTGGATAATTTGTATAGATGAATGGGATATTTCCAAGCAGCAGTAGCAGAAGCAGCAGCAGCAGCAGTAGCAGCAGCAGCAGCAGCAACAACAACAACAATAATAATAGTAATAAAAAAAAATACCAGCATATATCTCTCTTTTTTTTCATATTCTTCTGTCTGTCTGGCTGTCTCTCTTGATTGCTACTGCTACTGCTACTGCTACTGCTATTGGTATTGTTATTCTTGTTTTTTGTTTAGGATTGTGTTATCTTACAAGACTGTTTTGGTGATTTTCTTGGGCGTGTTGGTGTATTGTTCTCTAACCGAAATACCAGAGTCCCTGGGAGTTGCATGAATGAGCCGATTTGGCTTGCCTTGAGGGCTGCAGTTTTGGGATCGTCGAGCCAATCAGCAGAGATCCCCGTGTTCCTGAACTGTTCTTCAATCTTCTCCGCGTAGAAACGGACCTTGAAGACGTCGTTCACATATGCTTGGGTTCCCCGAAGAAGGGTCAGATTCATCCGGAGTTGATCACAAGCATAAGCCTTGAGGTCGGTAGAAACCTTGTCATCACCGAGATTGTAGTGATAGATCCTCTTGGCCGTATTGTGGATCGCAAAAAACATGTGGTGGTACGTGCTCTGGTCACATCCGACTTCCTTGAGATAATGAAGTGACTGCAGAAGCGCAAGGTTCGTCTGCAGACAGTCAATAAGAATGTGTCTAGCTGGTGGTTGGTGCGGGTGGAGGAATTGAAACAGGACGACGAGCCGCATCGCATTGTAGCACAAATGGAGATGTATATCGATTCCCGGGCAAAAGCTCGGACTTGACGACGATGTGGTCTGTGGATGAGAAGATGGCAGACGGTGGTTGGTAGAGATGCGCATCTGACGGTTGTACCAATCCTTGACCCGGTCAGTGATCTCGTAGTATAGTGTGGATGGGTATGGGCGGTCATCGCCAGGTAGATAGTTGAATATGGTTCCTGTACGCATTGCCCGGATATACTTTCGCATGTACTTTGTCAGGATGGCAAACTGGAGAAGGTTGTAGCGGCAGTGATCCATCTCAGATGCAGCAGGAGGCAAGACCTCTTGCTCCATCATCTCGAAATCCAGTCCAGGAACTTGGTCAGGTAAAAGGCATTCTCGGTTGAGAGTCAGACACATCCAAGCATCTACATAGTACCACCGAAACCAGCACAAAATTGTGGGATTATCGATCTGGTTGTGTCTGGTCATTTCCTTGGCCTGTTGTTGGAGCGCAATCGAGGCAAGACTGACCCAGGTCCGCTGCTGCTCATAAAGTCGTAGCAGATTTGAGGTGTAACTTAGGCAAAAGTAGGATTGGATTATTGCCGGATGCATAGAGTCAAAGAATATGTCGTCCATCTTTTGCCGAGCCTGGCTGTAGAATTCCATTGCTGCGTCTTTGATGTACGAATGGGCTACATGATGATCGATAAAGGTGACCAAACTAATGGATGCCACGCAGTAAACGATGGTCGGTGGCGCATTTCTCCAATCACGGATAAGATCAAGATGAATTGGTGCTACTTTGAAACCGATGCAGCACCAGTGGGTGATTGCTTGCTGTATAAGATTCTCTAGTAATTGAGAGCTCTCTGCGGTGAGCCTGACTGACATTGGAAGCTTGATGGCTCTTCTGGATTTTTTGTCGAGATCTGCTTCTTCTTTTTCGATCAGCATACGTTCTTTCGCATTTCTTTTGATCCTTCTTTGAGACATGAGCTGTGGCTCTGTTAGGATTGTGACATTTTGAATGGCTGTTTGAAGGTCAGAAAAAGTGTTGAATTTTAATTGAATTGAATCTGCTGGTAATAGAGAACAGATAGGGTCGTCTACGAAAGGTTGCGGGACTGGACTCATAACACTTGTGAATAAGGCATTGTGGGGTACAATATCCGACATTGGCCATTCTTGTTGAGGCTCTTCATATGGGCTTAGTTGGCAAGGTGTGAGTGTGCCAAGTTCACTAAATGATGACTGTGATCCACTTGAATTGAGATAATCAAATAAGAGCTCTTCAGTAGACTGTTCGTCGTCTTCATTTAATGTAAAGTAATTCATGACAGATGTAAATGAGTGAGAGAGAGAGAAGAAAAAAGAAGAATATTAAAGAACGAAAGTACAGAAATAAGGTAAACCAAAAAAAAATAAGGTGTTAAGGGGGAGGGGGGGTTAGAGGAAAGAGGTTTAACAAGATTAGAATCAGAGCTTTATTATTATTTTACAGTATTTAAAATGGTCGATTATTTTTGAAATGTATGACACAAAATATGAAAGAAAGAAAGAAAAAAAAACTAGCGACAAGGCATTTGATAGAGGTCAATATTAATGTAATGAGATCAACGCCAAATAAGACCTCCCTGTTCTGGTAGTGTACGAAGCACAGGTACATGTAATCTGGCTTTTTATATACAGTGCAACGAGTGGCAAGAACGGAAAAAGAGAGAACGAGAGACAGAGGGGAGCTTGGGGGGGAGGGTAGGAGGAGAGGGAGGGAGAGGAACTTCAATATAATACTGATAAGAAGCACAACAAGGTGAAATAATGAGAGAATGAATGGCCCAAATAGTCAGATCGGCCTATCGTTTGCTTATTCACACCAGGCAACGTGTGGACACACAGACAATCTGAATTCCCTAAATGCACAGCTGCTCATTTTTTGGCCAATTATATGGGAGGCAAGCCATGTTTCAGGAGAAACGTTGGAATTAAACAGAAGAAGCGCGTACAAAATCCTAAAGAAACAAACATGAACAATATTAGCAATGTATATATATGTATATATACGTGTATGAGTACTAGTATGTGAGTTAAGGCAATTTATATCGTAAGTGAGCTATATAGTAAGTTGCTTAGCCGGTTAGCTGCATAACTACATAACTACATGGCTAATAAGTAAGAAAATCAAATTGCCAATTCAATGGTATCTAGCAGACTTGCAATAACTATAGTATCTTGCTTGAAATAATAGCCACAATTCTTGATTGCTGTAAAGATGTTCTGCTTCTCTCTTTTTTTTTGATATTCATTTTGCCTCTGCCTTTGCTCTTTTAATTTAATTTAATTTAACATGATATGATATGATTTAATATAATATAATATAATATAATATAATAGACTTGGACAATTCAGAATATATTCAAGAAGGTTTCTCTTGTCGTGTCATTTACCTTTTACCCCATACGCCTATAATTTTTTTTTACCTCCAAAGAGATTCTTTTGTTTTCCTTTAATTAATTTTCCCCTTGGTTTATTTTATTTTATTTTATTTTATTTTATTTTATTTTTACTATTGATTATTTATCATTTCATCATTTATTCTTTTATTTTTGTAAATGCAAACCTATTCTTGTAAACCTTTTAACCGCTTCAACCGCTCTAACCACTTCAACTCCTATAAAACCTGATGGAATATAGATATTCAGAATATCGGGTCGTATTTCCTTACCAAGGTAATCCACATGAATTCACAACACTGTAAAGTATCTCCTCTTACTCAAGGCTAGCTGTTTAATAATACTCATAAAACAAATATATGTGTTTTGTGTCTATCGATTGTCGCAATTGTTTCATAATAACCAGACACAAGAAAGGCATGCCTTATAGGCCTATAGACCAAGTTTGAAATAAAGAAAAATGCCACTTATGCCACTGTGTTGTTTCGTGTGATGTTACAGTTACAACACACACACACACACACACACACACAATTGCACAAAAGGTAAGATATGTATATAGATATTTGCACATTAGCACATTTATATATTTATACACTTATATAAATACATTAATACATTAATACATGAATAGAAAAATATATGAATACATTAATATATAAATATATCTTTACCAATGATTGTTTTGTGTAATGTATGCCGCACCATCCCCATTTATATACTTCGATCACACAACCTCAAAATAACCATGGTAATAAAGAATTGCTAATATAGCTGTTCTTGTTCTTGTTCTTGTTTTGTAGTATACTGGTCAATTGAAACAACCATATTGATCCTATTCCACTTCACAGCAATATCTATATTCCATTTATTACTTCAATATAGCTGTTTTAACTACTGAATTTTCTTGCCAAGAAAATACATAATTAGTACCATTAAACCACACGAATCAAGGTTTAATTGAACGCATTAGACCACTGATATTCAATATGGTACAAGAATAATTAAAAAAGGAAGACGTATGTTTACACACACAAGTATATATATATATATATCGATTTTCAGATTTGTTGGGATATTGATCAATGAAAATAAATGTTTCAAAAACAAATAAAAAAGTTTCAAAATACAGAATTTGATTATCAATATAAATAAATTGAAAAAGAAAGTGTAGATTTATCTCTTAAATCTACAATTGATCAAATATATAAAGATTGATCAGATAAAAGCTTATAAATTCTATACATACATACATATATAAAAGAGAATTTAAGCTTGTTTTCTTCTTCTTTTTATTATTAGATTTGTGAATCATTAGTTGCATGTATTGTCATTAATAATCGAGCTTTTTTTTTTAAAAAAAAAAAAGAAACATTTGTATTATAAATAATTACATATTACAAGAGAAAGAATTAGATTATTAGGGCTTTTACATAATGCTGTTTTATATTCGCAATCGGATTACTTCAAATATAGAACCCTCAACTCATGTCACAATCGATTCTCGCCATTCAATATCAGGATAGCTTATTTTTAGGCTTGGACAGTGTCAAGATTCATTTCAAAAATAAACACAAACACATAAAGTATTTTAAAGCAACTCTAGAGAATAACAGACTGTTATAATTGATATATAAAATAATAAGGATCCAAGTCGCTGGCAGAACAAGAAGAAGAAGAAAAACCAAACTCGATACATTGATTGTATAGACCCTTTTTGTAAATGATGCCTTGTTTTATTTTACTTTTACTCTTGGAAGCTCTTTGCCAATATAAAGAGACATTGATGTTGACACCCCACTGGCAAAGACATGTGAAAACTGATAGACAATATACATTCTTCTGTGTTAAGTTTGGTTTTTTGATCCTTATTTCAGATTAACTGATCGACAATCGCTTGTGCTTTTGTGTGTGTGTCTATGATAATCTTTAGTTTTATTAGAACAAAAAACAAAAAGGAAATGCAGTTTCCAATATTAGACCTAGCATTTCATTGTCAAAAGAAATTGACTTTTTTTTTTCTTATTTTAAAGAAAAATTCCAAAAATAAATATTTTGTAGTATATTGGTTTAATAATGGGGTTTAGAAATATAATATTATGTGGTTGGAATATAAAGCAAAAAATAGTTGTAAGCGAAATGATGCGAATGAAAGAAAAATAATCGAGGGATTTTTAAAGCTTGGATTTATCTTGATTAGCCTTCTTGAAAATGGCTTTAGTAGGTGGAGTAGCATTGTCTTCTGCTACTATTTCGGCAAGACGAATTACACGCGTGCTTACTGTTTGATTGTAAAACAACAGTAATAATTAAGACTATGTGAGAAAATACATATGTACATATGTACATAAAACATGAATACGAACCTGTAGCATTATCTCTTCTGTTCTTTCCTTCTCTTCTAAACTTGCCGATTCTCTCAACAAGTTCCCAAAGATGGCCTCTCGGGGACAGAACACCATTGACCCGGTCCGGAGTGTAGTCAAGGCTGAGTGCAACCTCGCTAACAGGTTTTGGACTACCCTGGCGTCGTTTCAACAAAATATTCTTTTCTTGGTATCGAGTAAATGCTTGGTTCAGAGTCTCTTTGTTAACTGCTTCCAGATAACTCTTTTATTGATTGTGTAAGATAATTAGTATCAGATATCATTTATATGGTTCCACAACAGCAACAAACAACAAACAACAAACATAATAGAATGAATTACAAGAAGAAGAAAATCGGAGAACTTATAGTTCAACTTACCAAATCACCCTGATAATATAAAGTCTTTCCGAGGGCCTGTGCTCTATTGGCAAATAGTTTGTTCTCTACCCAAACAGGTTCCTTGGTTGATGACTTGCTTGGAGGTGCCAAAGAAAACAAACTGACTGCTGCCAGCCAGTAAGACTCAATAAATGGCCAGATCATAAAGCACAAGAAATCTAAATTGTTAATCATACCAAATAATAATAATAAAACATCAGTGACCTTGACCAAACAACCCTACCCACACACCCACACACCCACACACACAAATTTTGTTTTATGTACAAGATCCTTAATCAAGAAGGTTTGACCAATTCTCCTTTTTTCCCCTTCTCCTCACCATAATTTTCACGACCACAGGCCCGTTCTACATCTGATAATCCAACCCAGCCATCTTCCGTTACTTCAAGAACATTATTGTCAGCAAGCCAAGTAATAGTGCGATGAGTGTTGCTCTCAATTCCACCTGGCTTGTAAATCATGTCAAGCTTTAATATACTGGATAGAAAAGAAATCTCGGCCAAAAGGTCATCGTATCGCATTTTCTGTAACTCCTTTCCACCACCAAATTTAACCACAGTGTAGAGAGATACGCATGCAATGGCTATTTATATATATATATATATGTATATTCAGCGTGAGTAAGAGTAAATCCAAAGATTAAATGTATTGGTTTCCATGACAACAAATGATTACCTTCTTCCACAAACATGTGTATGACTTGGTTACGATAATACGATAGCTCAAAGGGATTGATTCCATAAAATGTAGGTTCAAGAATATCTTTACCCTTACGCTCACCAACGAGATCTTTGTGAATCGTAAGAGCACTGTGTATATAAACAAATTGTTATTATTATTTGATTATTAGATTATTTTTGGTTTTTTTTGGTAGTGATCTTACCGATCTACAATTTGACTTGTCGACATGCCATGTGACTCTGCAACGTGTCCACCTTTGTCTGTGATGACCTTTGTGAGCCAGTCTACACGTCTTATCAATTCGCTTTTTCCGACACCTCGACCTCGCAGCGTCAAGATAACCGTTCCGATTAATGCAGATGGCATTACCACAGCAATAGAATTCTGTAACATTAAAAGACTAATTAATACACGATCACAGTCACAAATACTCATTATTATAATAATAATACTAATAATACGAGACAATGGTATCACACTTACAATATCAGCCAATACCCTGCACATGAAATACACATACACAAAAGAATTATTAATAAAGTGAATTATTACTTAAAGAACTTATTATTCTTACCGGTATCCCAATGATTTCAACAGTACAGATTTTTGATGTGTATCTGAAAGATCGATATTTCTAATAGGATGCAAGTAAAGTTAGAAAAATCAGTTTTTTTTGTAAGGCATCTATAATTCAGAATTACTTACCCACGCATGCTCAACTGTTCTTCTAACCAGCCTTTGAGAGAATATGGTTTGGCTACTCTGACTATTTAAAAGGAAATGTTTTGTGGGTCAGCTCAGTTATCTACAATCTATTTTATTTATATGTTTAATAATTTGCATACCATCTACACGACCCCATTTGAGCTGTAGTAAGCGAGAGCTACTGAGAATTCCCCTATGAAAATAAAAGAAAAAGGTAATAGTGAATATCTATCTAGTTAATAAAAAAAAAGATTCTCAATATAAAAATTTCTTGACTTACCAGACGCTTTCCTTTTCTTTTGGAGTTCCCAATAGTTCTTCCGCATAGCTAAGTACATATACGTATTGTTATTATTTTTATAAGATATCATAATACTTGAATTAGATAAAGCCCTTTTTTAAAAAAATAAAAAAAAAATTCTCTCTTGTCTGAGATTTACAAAGCCCCGCCTCTTTTTTTCTTCTTCTTTTGGCTTCTTGGTTTTTTTTGTTTGATATTCAAAATTATTTACCTTGATGTCTCGATAATCTTATCATAGCCCAATGAAATTGGGACAATATAGCAGTCCGAGAAACGCTCTTCCAAAAATGCGTCCAGTATGATCTTGAGAATACCAAGTTTTGGCGCAAGTAACTTGCCTAACCATAAGAAGAAGAAAAGGCATGCATTAAAAAAAAAGGATTTGAGTTGAATAATTGCATGTGAAAAATCCCAAATATATATATATAAGAAATATGCACTTCTTTTATCATTCTTCTTCTAATTCTTGTTCTTTTTACAGGAAGTGTTTATCATTTTCTTTACCTAGTCGAGAACGAGTGCCTTCAACGAAACATTCAATGTTCACTATTTTAAAATGAAAATTTAAAAGTGTCAGATTAATAATAATAATAAACACCTGACTACCCGATACTCAAACTCTCTAATTATTATCATTATTATTTTTTTAAAAAAAAAATCACTTACTTCCTTCAGATAAAAGAATACTAATATATTCTTCAAGGATAGTCTTGTACATAATATCATCACCCCATTCTCTTCGAATATAAAACGCGCCACACGAGCGTAGGATACTTCCCACCACGGGCATGTCGAGATTATCACCTGCTACAATGTGAGGTACTTGGATGCCAAGACGATACATTACATAGGATACCACAAGGTAGTCAATATGAGATTTGTGAGATGGCAAGAGTATGAGAGATTGCTTGTTTTGTTGGGCAATCAATGCGACTCTCTTGAGCTAATTGATACAAATAGTATAATAAGATTTCGTATTAGAACTTTTTTTTGTTTTGTTTTGTTTTGTTTAGTACTTTGCCAAAGAGTAAAACCGTCGTTTTGTTTTTATTTTATTTTCACTTGCCTCAACCCATTCACTCTCCTTGATATGAATTCCTTGATGATAGAGACGCACCAAGATGTTGTTAACCAAAAAGACAGCCACACTATAGGCTCAAAATCGTTATATATTAAAATCGATTGACTCTTAGATATATTAATAAATAAATAAATAAATAAAAAACACTCACCGAATTACTCGGACATTATCCATAGTAGAAATGCATTTATCGACAATTGCATTTGCCACTATTTCTAACTCATGGCACAATGCCTTTTCTTGTTTGCGAATACGCTTCTGTTGTTCAGCTGGTGACAATTTTTTGAATTTCTTTGTTGGTTTTCTTGTTGCTTCGAGAATTGCGTTTTGACGATCTGCCAATTGATGGATGACATCTTGAACTATTTGTAAAGAAGTTTATTATAAATATATATATATATATATTCAATACTGATCATTTTACTTGTTGCCTTTTATTACCTTGCTTGCTCGACAGAATCTTTTCTTTGATGTTCTTTGAAAAGTCGGGATAAAAGATCTTATTGCCGATGTAGGACTTGTAACCACGCCATCCCTGCACAAGAAAAAAAAACGCAAAAAAAAAGAGATTGATCTTAATGTAGTTCACTATCGCACCTACCACCACTGATACCCTTTCTGATTTGATTCTTCAACTTACTTTTCCTTGATAGTACGCACCCATGTTTACCATAAAAGCCAAGGGATCTTCGAGAATTCTTCGTGGTTCTTTTTCTCTACATAAAGCAAATATATATAAATATAAATATATATATATTTTAAAAAAAAATCCCCCCTGTATAACTGATTTATGCACTTTAAACGGATTCATTTTTTCTTATAGAACAAAACAACACTTACACAATGTTGCGATGCTCATGCTCATTTGTTTCCGGAGTAACTGAAAGCGGATCGTTCGCTCCTTGGTTTTGGGTTACGACAATCACATCGTTGACAGGTATATTTTGGTATCGTTTGTAGTGGTCCATTAGGTCCTGGAGTTCTTTTTCTGTCCTTTGAGCCATGGTGAATGAGAATGAAGAACAAGAAAAATAAAAATAAGAAAAATAAAACCACAAAAGACTTAAAAAAAAAGAAATTAAAAAAAAAAAGAACCCAACCTTCTGGTTTGACTGACTTTCCTTTTTCTTTTTTCTCATTGGGGGTAACATTAATGTTTTATGGATTATTTTTATATATAAAACATATTTCAAAGTTCCGATTTTGTCTCTATTAGGAAACCATCTGGAATCCCCATAAAATTATATTCGTCTTCTTCTCTATATCTTTAAAAAGAAAGGGAGATACTCTGCACGTGACTTACGCTCGCACTTTTAATAAAACAATTAAAAAGAAAGGATGATACTCTGTACGGGACTTACATTTGGTCTCTATATTTTTAAAGCAAGTTCAGGAATTAATCTTGCACAGGTAGCTCACGATGTGATTGTGTCCCAGATTGATATGAACGGTAGAGAGGTAAGTAAAGTTAGGGATCAAATAACACGCCATATAGCATTTGGATTTACATGAGAACTTTTAACTAGAGAGGGTGACTACCTTTTCATTTTTGAAGATTTCCATATTTATCGAGTACATGAGTTTTAAGGACAGAAATTTAATCACCGAAACCACCAAAAATATGAATTTTGAAAAACGTACAAATATGGAGTCATGTTTTATAATACAAATAGTGCTTAAATATACTGAGTACCATTTTTAGCCTATTCATAATTGGGTTGAAAAAATACATCTGTCCATCAAAATTGAGCTCATTTATGAATAAAAATCGAGTAAATTTGAAGCAATCCAAAATAGGATAATCGGAATATCAATAATTAAATTCCCGTTTGAGTGATTTTCATAAACATTCAAAAATGAATTAAGCACCCTCTCTATTGACACTCACAATATTACAAAAAAGAAAAGAAAAGAAAGGTTGTGGATTAGCATTATAAAGCTCGATTTTCGAAAGTTATTACATAATTTGAATAATCTGGTGAATTATTTTATCATTATTTTTACTATCTAAGGTGTAGAGCAAGGTTTTTTTGTTGGTTACAAAAAGAAAGAATTATGAAAATATTAGGGCAAGAGATATTGAAAAGGTGTCTTTGTTTTTGAGTTAGAATAGTGAGAAAAAAATATTGTTTAGACAAAATACTACCCATGAACCCATCCTTAAAACTTTTAAAACGTTTACAGAAATTCTCTACCGAATTCTCTTCCTTTTTTTACCACAGTATAGTAGAATTTCCAGCAGAAATATAGGCAAACAAGAACTTCTCTTAATACACTTTGCAAATACAGTAACGAAGTATTTTCGGTCCAAATTGATCTATTTAGTTTTATAGTATGCTGTTTTACAGCACATATTTAAAAGTAAAAAAGCTATTGGTTTCTCATAATAGATCATTCAAAGGTTTATTTGATAAAGTCAAAAACAAAATGATTTCAATAATAAAAATAGAGTATATACTCATAATTACAAAAAGTTTATTGTATGATTTACAGTCTATGCGTACACAGACATGCGCACGTACCATTCTCTTAAAGACTTTTCTCTGTTTGTATCATCCAATACTCTTGAATCAAATAATTCGGGATCCATAGAGTCTATGAACCTCAATTGAGAAGCCAATACAACGTCAGCCCACCCAACTAAAAGTGAAAATGAAAACAGCGTTAAATAATAAGAATAACAAAAACAATGGTTTTTAATAGTCAACATGGTACCTTCAGATCCGGTCAAATAAGGGGTCTTTGTCAAAGTTTCTCTGAAGTCTTCCAATCCATCTTGAATTGCCTTAATGCGATCCTCCGGATCTCCTATAAGCTGCTCTATTGGCATTCCAAATTTGGATTCACGATCCTTTCTGAACTTGGCCTGCTCGGCCTCATTGCCGTATGCCTTGATTATTTTTAATACAACAATACAGGCGAGATTAAGAGCCAGGGTAGAGCCTATTTTTTTTTGAATAGATGCGTGTAGCTCCTCATTTCCATGGAATAAACTAGGAGTTTCAGGGTATGTGTCTTCCAGATACTGTGCAATCTTGAAAGATTCCTGAATAACCTTGTCTTTCTCAACATCTACAATGATAGGTACAGTAGGAGTTTCGCCGGTCTTGCTGTAAAAGTACAGAATAATAATGAGATTAGTAACTCTTTTATATATATACGCGTGTTTTACAGTGATAATAGAATAGAATAAAAAATAGACTTACGTGATTTCCGGAATTATAGTAAGAACTTCTTGAAAAGTAACCCATTTTGTTTCATAAGAGAGACGCTAAAAATGATTTGGAACTTATGTTAAAAATTTGATGGGTGTGTGGTATATATATATTGATATTTTGCTTTGAGCACTGGGAATGATGGAGGCATACCTTTATATTCAGTGTATAGCGTGTCTTGTAGGTATTTGGAGACCAACTTTTTTCTCCAAGAGCTGGAAGACGGAGATCATAAAATTGGATGGGCTTCATAGAAATAATATAGACAAATGGTAAAGATGTGTGAGAAACTAAAGAATATGGAGGTAATAATCCATTTGTATTTATAGTTTTGCTGCGTAAAATCGCTATTTCAACTTGAACAGAATGTACTATATTTCGTCTTGCTTCAGTTTGGCTTGCTTGTATACACACATACACACACACACACATACAAGCATACATACATACATACATACATACATACATGTATTATTATTTTCTGTACCTTCATACCTTGCCTAATAAGATAATTTGATATCTATCTGTAGTACAATATCCTTGTATATATATAGCAAAATCCAAATCCAAATTAGAAACAAAAGGTGTTCTTCACGACCCCAAACCTTACAACTTGACGTTCTACCAGACCAGTTCCCCAAACCATACACAAAGATACATGATATATATATATAATAATTATGTAACATAAAATTTCCAAAAAAGACAAAAAAAAATCTTGTACATGTCGGTGTATTTTAACCTTCGACATGGAAGTAAGATGGGAAATAACGTCCCGTATACAGCATACTGGAGAGCCATATTGACATGGCTACTTCTCATAAAGATCATAATTATGCTATTTTATCGCCTTTTACAAATACAAAAACACATATTTATAAAATGAGTTATAGAACTGTTTTGATTCCTTCAATCATGCAAGTTGGTCAGGGTATGAGTCCACCAATTGTAGTTGCTGTCATTTGGATATCGGTCATTAACTCGAATTTCTGTTAACGTTACGGGAGATCCCAAGAAAAAAAAGACACTGTAAGTCCATATTAACATGTCAACTTTTTGAAAGTGCATATTGGGCCTGGAAGTGAATGAATAGTCGCTGAAAAATGACAAATGCTCTTCCAAGGGAATCTGCTTGTTCTTCCGAGTCATTTGTCGATTAGGAAATGTAAGGGCAGGCATTAGACAATGCTTGTAAATATTCCTTGATTCTTCCTTCTCCAAGAACAGTATCAATAAGGCGGTTGTAGCTCATTGTTGTTTCGTTTTAGTAAAAGTATCACAAAATAAAGAACACAAGAAATAATACAAAAAAATTCACACACTAAGATAAAATTTTAGAGATCAGGTACTCCAAAACTGTTTTGTGTATGGCTTGGGGGACTGGTCTAGTAAAACGTCAAGTTGTAAGGTCCGAGGTTGTGAAGAACACCTAAAGAATCAACGGTTTGACCAAATTTTGTATATATATATTTTTTATTTTATTTTTATAAAGTAAATTTCAGGTAAGATACTACTGTAATAATAATAATAATGTGCGAGAAGTCCCACATTAAGAGAATAAATATAGGGGGTACTCAGCCAGGTTGATCGCTCAAATTTTAAATTCAGAACGCGATATTATTGGACTACAATTGTAATAGCGACGATCAAAATTTGATCAAATTTTGATCGAAAAACGTACGGCTCTCTGATTGGCTGAATCCTTACTTTTTTATATGCAATACAATACTGTTTTTATCTTTCTCCTTAATAAATCATAGAATTTACTGTCAACAAAGTCATGTAACACTTCTTTCACTCCGTATAACATGCCAAAATACAGTGCAAAGCAACAAACAGTTGCTGCCTTAAAGAAATCGCGTAAAATCAGAAAATTTGTAGCGAAGGAAAAAAAAAGTCTGGTACAATCTTTATCAACAAGCGCAGATGAGCTGTTGAAAAATATTTCAGAAGTCCTTGAAGAGGAAGTTGATGCAGAGTTGGAGAAGATAGCTGTTGTGGAGGATCTTGAGCAGAACCTTCAAGCCAACAGATACTTACACAAGGGTGGCAATACATTGCCAAAGCTTAAATCAAAGGAAGAAAAACTTGCTTTCCTCGAAGACCTAGATGCAGATGGGTTCAAAGAAGAAATCAGAATGTCCAAAAGCTCGTTTAATAAGCTGTACGAGATAATCAAAGACCATTCTTTATATAAGTCACCGAAAGGACATAAGCAGACTGATGTAAAGCTTCAATTAGCTTTGGTCTTGGAGAGACTAGGCTCAGACGGGAATGCTGTATCCTATAGCAGGCTTGCACGAAGATCTGGTGTTGGAGGTAAGCGTCTTTTAGTAAACTGACTTCCGTTAATCTATATAAACATATAATTAATCCATTGAACTAATTATTTTAAACTTATTAGAGGGCAGTGTCTTAAACTTCACAGTTCGTTTCTTCAAGGTAATGCTATCAATGGAAAACATGTACGTTTTTTGGCCGTCAGAACTCGAGAAGACAGCAACGATAATCCCAAGCAATGAGAAACCATTCGGATTTCCTGATCTTGTTGGGTTTTTGGATGGGTGTCTGTTTAACTTGCAGCATACACCGTCGTGGAAAAAGCCAGAATTCTTTGGTCGTAAGCGCACATACTGTGTAAACACTCTTGGGGTATGCGACCATCAAAAGAAGATTCGTTATCTCTCTTGCGGATACTTCGGAAGCATGAACGATGCCAGGGTGTTTGAAGAATCGACCATGGGTAGCGACCCCAATAACTTCTTCTCTGGTGACCAGTATGTTTTAGCCGATGCTAGTTACATTCCCAAGACGTACGTTGTCCCTGTCATAAAGAAGCCAAAAAAAACAAGGAATTGTGTGATGCGGACAAAGCGTTCAATTCATACATAGCAATGATGAGGATAAAAATTGAGCATGCATTTGGGATCCTCAAAGCAAGATTCTGCTCTTTGAAGCGACTCCCAATTAAGATAAGAAGTCGAAAAGACATGAACATGGTCAATTCTTGGATCAGAGTTTGTGTCATTCTCCATAACTTTTTGATCGACCAGACAGATGACATGATGACAATGACGATGAAGATTTCATGGGAGAAAAGAGAAAAAGAAGAGATCGAAAGGATCAGCAGAGAAGGTGTGACTGGCACTGTAGATGACTATCCAGCAATGTCATTGTCAGATGAGAATGCTAAGCTCAAACGTATCCGTATCAAAGAAGAGATACTCATAAAAAACGGAGATGGGAACCTTCTTAAAAAAAAGTAAAAAATAAAGAAATAAATTATCTCAAAAGTAGAAATGATGTATAACAGGTATTCTATGATAGTTGCTGTCATTATTAAATTGATAGTCTTTAACTACCATACGTTTTATTGTAAACGTCGTCAGTTTGCTCTTGCACTTTTTCATCTGACCAGTTTTGCACTTTGGCCAATTCTGCAACTGCTTTCATCATGTTTTCGAATTTTCTGTGTATAAATTCGCGTTCTCGCTTAATGTGAAGATCGTCCTTAAGAACTTCTAGCTTTTCCCTATAAAGCCGTTCTATTTTTGCCTCTAGGGACACAGAAGACTCATTAAGTTGTCTCGTCACCTCTTCTGCCAACTCTTTATATTCGACGTCTACTCTTCTGCGTTTTCTAGAAGAGCTTGACTTAGGAGGAGGGGAGCAGAGTACAGACATGTTATCATTTTGGCTGTCATATTCCTCATTGTTGCTGCTATGACTGTTTTCAGCTGATTCTTCGTCCGTGTTGTCATCATCGCCATTGCTTTGCTCGCCGTCCTCGTCATGTATCCATTCCATTGGCTTTGTGGTATCACAAACCGCTGGAGAACCAGTCTTTCTATTGTCCATAACATTTTCCATCTGAAAGAAAGCAGGGCAGATTTGATTCAATTCAGCTATTGTTATACAAATTACATTAAAACAAAGAGATCTAGAATTGGTATTATATAGATAGTATCAACTTACACTCTAAGCCTTCTTTTTCACTGGTAGAGCCTTCGTCGTTAGAATTATTTTTAATACTATTATTCCAAACACGATAGGCTTCTCCATATTGTTTTGTCAAAAGATTGTTGAGCCTCGACTTTATTTGGGCTGTAGTTCGATAAACCCCTTGCTCCTGAAAATACTGGTTGCATTTATTCAGTATTGTAACCTTTGACGACTTGAACGTTCGTCCTTCCTTGTCACCGCCAAGATACATATTGAGGTTTTCTCCGCCGTTCATCAACATGAATTGCTGAAGTCTCTCCATAGAAGTCAGACCATCTTTACCACCATCATGTTTGTACCATGTCTTATATTCGTTTTTGATAGCATGGTTATCTTCAGTGGATAAAGATATTTCGCTGTTAGAGTTAGACATGTTTTTTTTCGTAATAAGGTGTGAAGCAAAATAAAGGTGCAGGTGTGAAGAAAGATGTCAATTGTATGTTTCCTAGATTATATAGCAATTTTTTTGCATAATCTTTTATTAAATGACGTATAATCTTGGCATATGAATGTCATTAAAATTTTGGTCAAAATTTGATCGAAATTTGATCGAAATTTGATCTTTTGCCTTTTGGTGTCCTCAACTACAAATTGACATCATTGGCTAAGATTCACACAAGAATTTGAGCGATCAACCTGGCTGAGTACCCCCATAGAATGAAGATAAAGATAAAGTTTGTTTGTAATAATGTTTGTGATATTTATACTAATTTACGAGATCAAACAGTATCCTAGACTCTATGCTAAGTTTTTTTGCTGCGGTATATTGCTGAGTAACGATTGTCTTCTTCTTGGCATTGCTCATTCGACTACTGCGGTTGGAGTAGTTGCTTCTAATTGGAGAGGACTGGGACTAGTGTTAATTCCAAACTGCTCCTGACACTACAGTAGGCGGGAGAAAGGGAAGGTCACCCAAGAATATATAAAGGTTGACAACAAGGTACAAAAATAAAGATCAAAAAACAAAATAAAATAAATCATGTTTGAATAAAAGAGAAAGAGAGAGAATACAGGTTTATTCCATGCCCAATTTTGAATACACAGTGAATTGTATTAATAAACATATTATTGACTAATAATAAAAAAACCTTTTGTCAATTGGCTTTAGTAATTGTATTCAAATCAGTATGTTGTGAATCTATACAAATTACAATAAGCGATCTGTATTATTAATAGTATTACTGTGATCTAGGGATTAAAGATATAAAATAGTCTATTCAATACTAAATTTAAGAGCTTTAGTTTATTTTCATGATCCACAAAAAAATATCAAAGTTTTATATAAAAATGATAAAATATGGAAATTTAGTTACCTGTGAATCTTATTCATTACAAAATACATCTTTACAAAGATATATATATATATATATTATTTATTGCGATCAAATAGTCATTATTTGACAAATATAACATAAAATACAGAATTATCTTAGATCAAGCAAGTATTCAGCCCTACTAATAATTATTGATATCCATACTACTATTTATTATTGTTATATATGACATATAGCACCTCTTGTAAACACAGTAAAAAGATCAAAATCAATATATAGTCATAATCCGTAAGTTTGTCTTTGTATATTTTTATTTCATTGATATCCCATGTTAAATTCATGCAATGTACAAAACAAGTTCAAAGAAAATAAAGACGGAATTAGAGGTTCAAAGCAATATTTAAGCAGAGGCAGCAGGCTTAACTTGCTTGACGGCCTGAGTACCTATTGACAAAGAGATGAAGAAAAAAAATTAATATCCCTGCTACAATCAACACACACAAAAAAACACTTTTCTCAATCTGTATCTCCAAAAGAGATAGATAGATAAAGACAAAGAGCTTAGAATAAAACCGCAAGCTTACCCTCACGGAAACCGTTCTTGAAACGACGGTGGACCTCCTTCAAGTGACGCATGCGACCGGTACCGGTGGTCTTTCTACGCTGACCCTTCTCGGACCAGTTGACTAGAAGCAGAATTAGAATGAGAATGAGGGTTAATCAACAGTTTTTTTTAATAAAAAAAAGTCTAGATTATTATGTGTTAACTTACAAGATCTAATCTTGGCAGCGGGGTAACCGCACTGAGCGCAAGTCTTCTTTTGGTTGTGGAAGGAACGTCTACCGCAACGACGGCACAAGGTGTGCGACTTGGTGTGGCGCTTACCGAACGAGGAAGTACCCTTACTCTACGATTTTCAAGAAGCAAAGAACAGACATACACACGGACGCACAGAGAGAAAGAGCAAGAGCAAGAGCAAGAGCAAGAGCAAGAGCAAGAGCAAGAGCAAGAGCGAAGGCGAGAGGGAGAAAATGAGAAATAATAAAAATTAAATGTTTAGTATTTCTCGGTCTGGTTCATCCATCGATAGTCATTCATCCATCCACTTTATTCATGGATCCATTATCCTTCTAGACACTTGATCCCCTCTATCAATTGTAGATATAATTCATCTTTACTACATACCATTATTGAAGACCGTAAGAGAAAGGAAGTCCATAGGTTGTGCTGAAGCGTATTGGATAAGTGGGAGTCCGACGGACTTGGGGCCTTCCACCCGCCCAGCCCCTGCCGAGCATTTGCGGAGATTGTATTGAATGTCTTTCATTTTTTTTATATATTTATATAACTTCTTCTTAAGCTGGGATCTTGTCTATAAACTTTTAGAATCAGTAATTGTCTTGAATAAATAATTTATATGGCTTGAATATCTTGAACACTTCTTTAGTTATCTTTTCGCTATTTTTTCTTTAAAAAAAAGATGTTCATAGGAGATATCTTTAATCTTACAATAATTAATTCATCTATATATACGTGTATATAAAATAGAGACTTTGGTTTCAAACACCGCATTGACGGTCTAATGTAAGAACCAATTTTTTTGTGGTGCACAACTGTCCAAAGCCATCCAAACTTTACCCTCATATATATATATATTACCAATTTTTTTTTCTGTATTTTATTTTTTTATTTTTTTATTTTTTTGTAACTGGACTTGAGAATGGAAGAGTACGACCTCACTACAATCGTTAACAAAAAAGAGTTTGTCAATACAGTAGAGTTCATCCAATGTCCTGTAGCAGGAAGATCTCTGGTGGCTAAGCGACCTCTTGTTCCTGGTGACATTGTCATGGTCGAACGTCCTCTCATCAAATATCCTCTCCAACCCGATTGTCGCTCAACTCTCTCGCCATTCTATTCAAAGGCAGTTTGGAAATCTCTGGTTGACATTGTTCGTGAGGAAGAGGGTCTTTCTCCTATTGTTGCACGTTTGCATAAACCTCACTCCTCCCATCGAGACGATTTTGACTATGATTCTGACTGTGATTCAGATCGTTCCGATGATTCAGATTCTGATGAAGAAGACGAAGAAGAACCTCAAGCTTCTGCATTCAGCCCAGGAATCCCTGCTGCCCTTTTAGCCTACCTTTCCATCAAACCCCCTCCCTCCAGAACCCACCAGTACAACAAAGGCACCAATCTTGATTTCTTCTATTATCCTGACAGATCAACCGAGCCACAGTGGGCAGATCATGCCACAATTCTTTTGGTTGAGCGGGTTGTGTCAAAGGCAATCGCAACTCACTCTATCTTCAAACACCTGGATCACAAGGAAGTCGTGTCTTTTGTCCTCAAGATCTATTCGAATGCACACACTGTTGCCTACCCTCACAACCGCACTCTGCCCACCCACTCCCGTAAGAAAGAACGCAGGGCCAGATATGCTGAAAAGTGGCCACTCGAAAACGATGCTGGCTGGCCCCAGGATCCACCCGCCAGTCGTCCCTTTATTGCTTTGCTGCGTTGGGGATCAAAGTACGCTCACTCTTGCACACCTTCCATGTTTCTTCGCTTTGATGTCAAACAACAATCCATGATTTTCACTGTAATGCGTCCTGTTCCGGTTGGTGAGATGTTGACCTTTTCATATCTTCCTGAAGATGATTTGTCTCTGGGAGGCTTGCTGTGTGGATCAACTATGATGCGCCAGGTGAAACTTGAAGCATTCAAGTTCTTCCATTGTCAATGCACTCGATGTGTTGCTCCAGATTGGCTTCGTGGTGCAGTATGTGACTCTTGCAAAGTTGGACCTCTCTATCGAACAACCAATGGTGATTGGACTTGCCAGGACTGTGGGTTCAAGGTCAAGGATGACGAAGGAGTGCAGTTTGTAGGCGAACGAGAAGACCATGTCGAGAAGATTGTGATGGCTTTGACTACACGTGCGTACGGTGCCAAACCTGTGGGCGAATCTATGATGCGGATGATTGAACCCTACCTCACCAAATTGCTGAATCCTGATGAAGATGAAAACGAACCACCTGTACCACACTTTCACTGGAGCTACAGTTACATTCACGCAGTATTGTCGATCTACCATCTCAAACTATTCCCCCTCTCGTTTGGAAAAGGACTTGCAAGTCGCTTGGGCATGCTTACGAAAGGATTAGAAGAAGCAGCAGTCTACATCGATTACCTCCACAGATGCATTTGGGACTACCCTACAATTAATATAGCCAATGTTGGCAATCCGATTGCAGCATTCTTTGCGGGTTGGCGCATGTTCGAACACGTCATTGATGTTGTCATGGAGAGCACAGAGAAAAAACAATACAATGTTACTGCATATGATTCGGATAGTGACAGTGACAGTGACGGCGATAGTGAGATTGAAGGTCAAAATGAAAGTGGTGACGAGGAAAAGGACGAAGAAAAGGTCGAGACTGCGGTCAAAGCTGAGGTCAAAGTCAAAACGAGTGAAAAGGAAAATGATTGCACTGTAGAGAAAACAGCTAAACTTGAACAAAAATCTGTTTCTCCTCCTCCTCTTGAACTCCTTCCTATGCCAGAGGAATGGAAAGAACCGGTAAACAGAATGCTCAAGATAGCTTCTGGACAATGGGTTCCTTTAGTGGCTACTCTGTTCAGAAATGAAACACCTATCATGGTGCAGGACATCATTGATCGTGTGAATACATGGCAAGAGAGAGTTGATGCTGTCTCTCAGCTGTAGAGGTATTTTTTTTAGTTCTTGCTTTGCTTTTAGAAAAAGAAAACAAAGCAAAGGCGAACGAACAAATATCATGCTTGTAAGAACAATTATAATAATTCAAAGTACATTAAAAAAGAAGACATTAGACTTATCAAATTTATTCATACGCGCATATACAACAATAATAATCATAATAAAAAGAATAATAATACTTACAGCATACTTCGTTACTTGAATTATAAATGTCAGTATATAATTGAAGATTTGGTTATATACGAGAAATATCTTTCACTCCATGTATTATATATATATATATATATTGAGTGTATTGCTTCTCATAGGAGAGAGAGAGAAAGAGTGAAAAGATAATATACAGTGATGTTTAAATTGTATAATAAGATGAAGAGCTTGAATCTCTGTTCAGTCGAATTAATTATTTTATTATTATTTTAAAGAAAAGAAAAATAAATTATTTACATTTCAGTTGTCAATGATCCATAGTCAAAAGTCTCTATTAGACAATAACAACCACATCCAGTGGGACATACTGATTGGTTCATATCAAACCATTGTTTTATGTGGTGATTGTGCCCACCGTGACCACACTTTATACAAAAGTTTACCAGGCCTCGTACAAGTACATGACACAGACTGCATCGAATCTGGCTACGTATCTTCCGGCAATTATTACAAGCCAAGTCTTTACTAGAAACCTCAGAGCTACAGAAGTAGCAACGGATATTGATTTCCATAGTTCTCTCCACATCAGGAAAGATTGGCCCAGACATAAACTTTAGAAGCTCTGCACGCTGATCGAGTAAACTCCAGCGATAAAGCATATCTGCATAGGCCAGTCTGAGAACATCACGCTGAGCAGCGCCCTGTGGATTAAGTATAGGAGTTGGTGCCAAGCGAAAGAAGCGTTCACCATCAAAGGTTTCGGTGTTGGTAAACTCAATAGACATCGTGTTGCTAGGAACTATCCTTCCTTCTTTGGTTGCCATTCCACCTGGTAAGAATGGTGAGGGAGGAGGAATTAAAACAGGCTGGAGGTCTGTGTAAGGGAGATTGGGAGTAGCAGGCATACCGGAAGGGTGGGGCCCGGTCAGACTAGCCATGGACACAGCATGCCGAATTCCTGGAGCAGTGTTGCTGGGGAGTTTAAGAGTAGGATACCAAGGTTGAGGAGTGCGTTGTACACGGTGGGGTGAGGGTGGTGTTGTGTCGTGATGTTCATCCACATGTCCGTCTGTTGTCTTTTCTGGTGGGTGCTGAGGAGACGTGTTGCGGTCGCTGAGCCAAAAGTAAGTCAACAAGTTGACCCCCCTCGTTCCATAGGATGCACTCATTTGATTCACAGATGCGCGACTAGGAGAGTTGGCAAGCGTGTGAGGACCAGAGTGTGCCCTGTGGAGAGTAGCTCGCACACGGTTATTGTGAGGTGTGTGGGATTTAATAGAAAAGTAGTCGAGCACAGCATCATCTGACATAGCCTGAACATCTAACATCTATTTTATAATTGGAATTTTTAGTTAAAATAAAAACATTGTTCTTTACTTAAGCAATTCTTCTTTCTTTCTTTCTTTCTTTCTTTCTTTCTTTCTGTACCTTTTGACTTGAAATACGAGGTATTTTCTGAGAATCTTTGGTTGTATCTTTCAAGATACAAGAAAGCATAGCCGCAGTTTGTACATCACCAATGAGGATAAAGTGTTGTAACCTATCAGGACAACAACAAAGTGCTTTATATTATAAATGGTTTTCTATAGTAGACCAAGGAAAAGAAAAGAAGCAAGTAAACTTACAAATTATCAGCTAATTTTTGACCTAGAGGGTGCTTCCCCCATTTGACCCGCTGCTTTGGTCTGGATATTGTCATATTTTTTGAAGGTAATTCATTAGTTCCTTTTTTCGAGTTTAATTGACGCTGTCGATTTGCGTACAGAACCGAGCGCAGCTCGGCCAGCTTTGCATCTCGCTGAACTGCTTGATCGTTACAGCTTAGTTGAACTTCAGGTCGACCGACAACAGCTAGACTTCCGTCTTCTGCAACATGTTGTTCACCAGGCACCTCCAATGGAACACATTCTCGCAAAATCTCAAGAGCAAGTGACCAGACTTTGAAAAGATCATGGCGGTCATGAGCTTTACAAACTTCTGCATTGTGAATACAGGCAGATACCGGATCATCGGCAGAAAGTCTATAATATTATTATTATTAATACAATTAATTTTTTTTCACAAATATATATATATGCTTTTCGTATGTGTGTATGTTTTCTATTTTCTTTCTTTTTGATTGAGTTACTTGAGCTACTTACATATATTCTTTTGCAAGCCATGGGCTGTACGGCATCATATCTGTAAAGTCTGCAATGACTACATTGTAAGTTACTCGATCTGTTTTTGGTCCACGGTATAATAACGAGTCTCTATTTCCAAGTGAATGGCTAAGAGCAAAACTCTACACATTTTTTTAAGATAAAGAAGACCAAGAGAGGTTGAGTATTAAACTAAATACACATAACATACATATCCAACTTACATCAGGTTTAAAGTACAATGATGCCATAGAGGTTAAACCATCGTCCATCTCATCAGGATCTTCATCATAGGCATATTCTCCAAATGCTCCCCCAGATCCTGCCACAAGTACAGTAGCGTTTCGTCCTTGGCGCGACATGGCAGCAATTTCCTTGTACTCTTCAAACTGTTCATATGTTCTTGGGTGCTTATAGAAATCGCTGTAGGTATTTTCAAAATACTCGCCATTCGTTGTGTTGCTTCTTGCAGTTGTATCTTGTTCAACCGGTTTTTGTTTTTGGGCTGTTCTTTTCGAATCTCTGACACGCAAGGTAGAGAAAAAACAGACAAGTTGACCTATTATGCATTTGCAAAGAAACTATCAGTTTGCTTTTTCTTTTTTTGTTTGTTTTACTTGCCATTTCCAGAGAATACACCACCGCAAAGACGTGGAAATGGAACAGTTTCGTCCGCACTTTGCTTGGAAGACATGTCAACTAGTTTTTCGCTTTGTAAGCTAACACGTTTTCCTGTAGCTCCGTAACCTGAAAGCCCACTCATAAAAGAAGGACCAGCAAATATTTCATCATCCGAGTCTCCATTATCCACGGCGTTTGGACCACTCCAATTAGGAATATAACCAGATTGGCCGGGACTACTTGTCAATGAAGCAACAGAGCCATTGTTGCTGTGTCCTGGTAAGCCAGATCCGATCGCATCAGGTGCCGTTAAATTAAAATCACCGTCTTCTTGGAAACTTTCACCAAGAAGGTATCGAATACATGCCTCAAGACACCATTTCTTTTGAGACGTATAGCTGGAAGCAAGTGCATTGAGATCTTGGGCCATATGTGCACGATAATAAATTGACATCATACTATTTTTTTGGATTTCGAATTCGGGTGGGCTATTGTCTGGATACTGGGGAGGAAATCTGACAGTGATTCGCAAAAATGCATTGGGTGTGTCTGACCAAGGTCCGTGCAAGGAAATAGTGCAGGTGCGTGAAGCAGCATTAATTTTTTCTGTCTTTACACCTGCACTGGCGTACTTGTTCAAGACTGCAGACATCTCGCCTGTAACTGTTTGGAAGGTATTCTCGGTCGCTGCGCCTCTTCGAAGTTCTCCTGCAGGCCCGACTGTCTTGACATTCTGCATCCAAAGGAGTGGATTGATGGCATATTTTTGCTCTCGGTATGCATTGGATAGCGTGTCATACCCACCCGAAAAGCCAGAGTTTCCGATTGTGGCCGCCGATGCTCTAAATGGAGTCATTGTGGTTGCATGACTGTTGGGTGTCAACCGAAGAGGACCAACTGAGGCTGGCATTGCCTTATGTCCTTCGTCGTCTTGATTTGCTTTGGGCATTTGTTGAAATGAATGAGGATGGTAAGGACCATCTTGCTGTTTCTCGTTAATAGGACCAGAACACATTGTTTTCCGAGGGCTTGGATTGTGACCAACAGACTAGTAAGAAGTTATTTTGAAGAGAAGGCAAAAGAAGTAAAGAAAAAAGTAAACAGATAAAATAAGAAAATGCCGCGGGGCTTTTTGAGAGTAATAGACAACATTTATATATATATATAATATTTACCTTCATGATATCTTTTGAAACAGGCCAAAGTCTCAGATTCTGATCCTTTGACCATGTAACAAGCTGGAATTCACGCTCATCTAAAATACACATAAATAAATCAATACATAAATAAATTTGGTTGCTACTGTTGGTAACTTTACCTCCTTCACTACCGCTACCACCTTTCCAGCGCCAGACAAACTCCTTTACTGAGTCTACATGGCCTTCAAAAGCATGTACTGGTTTTTCAGGGCTCGCACGATTGTACAGAAACAGCTTTGACTCTGTCCGTTGAGGCATCATTAAGACACCGTTTCCAAATGGTGTGTTTCTTGCTCTCCACACAGGAGTGTTTGTTGAAATGACTTCTTCTTCTTTTTCAGGTGTATTGATATTCCAAAACTATATAATAAATCAAGCAAAATAGTAATAGTAATAATAGTAATAATATATAAATATAAATATATAATTATACTTCTAATTATTGTTATCCATTATTCACCACCTATTATTCATTATATCTTTACCTTGACAAGTTTATCCAAACTACATGTAACAATATCATGGTCATTTTGTCGACTCCAATCGATACCATAGATCTTCTTTGAATGTGCAGTTATACTTGTCACTGGAACAGCACCTTTCTAATTAAATATTAATTCTTTAATACAGAAAGATACAAATAGCTCTTTATTTTTATTTATTGTAGCCTTACTCTGATATCCCAAATCTTGACGTCTTTATCGTGTGCTGAAGCCAAGAGAAATTCGCTTTTCCGATTAAATTTCACTTGGGTTGTCGCAGCTACATACAATACACACAAAAAGACACCCACAAAAACAGATACGCGTACAATTATGCGTACACAGACACACCACAACAAAGGATAACGATAATGATAATAAGTTGATAAATATTATTTTGTTTTTCTTTTTCTTTTTGAAGATAATAATAATAATGATAATTGACCAATGCGCGTATGTATAGATATTTGTATAGATATTTGTATATATGTAATAAGAATGACAATAATAGTTACAGTAATAGTGACAAGAATAAATACATAGATACATAAATAAAAGAAAGAGAACAACGCACCATTCCAAGGAGTAAATGAATTGGCTGGTCGAACAGAACGATCATCCTTTCCATCAGATCCTTGCCCTGTACATCGAAGATCCCACAAATGTACATAAGTATCTACAGAACAAGTTGCAAGAATATCTGGATGATGAGGCGACCAATTGATATCTGAAATTGCTCTAGAGTGTGCGTGAAGAACATGTTCAATTGCTTGAGATCCAGAATGATTGAGGTTCCAGACAATTAACTTTTGATTGGACTAAAAGGATGAATTTGTTTTAGAAATCTTGAATCTTCTTCTTATTTCTTCTTTTATATATATATATATATATCACCACTCATTTCCTATAGTTTATATGTATACGTATATATATATATTAATGAAATAAAACCAAGGATTTTTACTGTAGATGCCACCCATGATTCTCGAGATACATAAGGACTCCATTGAACATCGGCCACTTCCCACTTGGACATGTGAGGTAGTATACGAGGAGGTAACCATGGATCTTCCAAATCAATAATCACCAATCCTTGGCGACTTTTTTTTTAAAAAAAAAAAAACAATAATAATAATAATAATTAATTCATTGATTCATTGATTTAAATTAATATAATAATATAAAGAGATTTTTGGTCCTGATTTGTATCCAATATTCACCCTGCTAATACAACGTCTCTACAGGTCGGACTGATACTCATACTACCGACTGAATGGTGCAATCTTATTTCAAGTGTTTGGTAAAATGTATCTTCTTGGCATTGTGAAGGTTGAGGTTGGGGAGGGGGAGGAGGAGTGCTTGGTTCAAGACGTTTAAGTTGCCGTTGCTGTTGACGTTGTGTGATAAGTGCCGAAATGGATTTTACAGGAAAGTCTTGGTGAGTCGATGTTGTCGTCGTTGGTGTTGGTGCTGGTGATAAAGGGTTGCCGATCTGAGACTGGCGACGGCGTGCGCGCATTTGAAGTGTGCTTGGGGTATCAGGGCGGGAGGATGTTGGTAAATTCCCAATGTTTGAATCGGATTTCCGCCGGTGTAAGGTTGGTTCATTTGAGGTCTCATTTCCCAAGAGGTTGGCCAGTGGCTGGTTGGTGGGATCTTGTGATGATTCCATCTGTGCACATGTGGTTACTAGGAAATACTGCGTGAAATAAGAGGAAAAAAATAAAAGACACTTGAACTGAGATGCAAAAATGTGTATATATATACACATATATAATAATAAATAGAATAAAATAGAGTATATTAGAATTGCCTGTGTTTCTTATATAAAGAAAAAGGTTAATTACATTAAATATTGCTATCTTGTATATATAAAAGGCGCGTGTGTGAATGAGTGAGAGCGAATGAGTGATAAAACAAAAAGAAGTGTATTTGATTAATTTTTAACTCTAATAAATGCTGCCTATGAACTAGTGGGTCAGTGCTGTATTCAATTGAATTGAATTTGGCTTTTATATCTTGGTTACTTTATAGAATCTTCAGAATATCTTATGTTTTAGAATAAATGCTCAGTATGCATAATCCAATGTCCTTTTTCATGACTCTTTTATTCTTCTTGGTTATTTTATATGTACACATTAAAGTATGGTTTATTCAATAGATATATTTAGTATAATTTGCATTTGAATGTTTCACAATTAAAGAAGAAGACAATACATAAATTTTGAATAGAAGTCTATAGAAGCAAGATTTTAGCTTATGTAAAAAATAAAATAACTTAAAGGAACCTTGCTATTTTTTAAGGGGCAGCCAGCTTCAAAGAAATAAATTAAAATATATGTGTATATATTTATACGTATAATTTTTTTTTTATAAAATAAAAATAAAAATAAAAAAAACAAGAAAACAAAATAAGCCCACCTTACATACGTGTGTTTTATTTATTCCTTTTTGAAAGAAGGGATTCCTAAATTAACATGCATATGCATGGAATCCAAGCTCACGCAACACTAATGCAGTTACCTTGGTCATTAGCCCTTCGAGCTGTCTGTACAACACCCACACTTACACTCGCACTCACCCCAGTCACACGCTCATTCAACCGTTTATTGTCAACTGAATCTGCCACACCAAAAACGAAAACCAAAACGAAAACCAAAACGAAAACGAAAACGAAAACGAAAACGAAAACTAAATTATCTAAAGACGATTCCAATTCTCTCTTGCTGACTAGTATAAAAAAGTCTGATTCGCCTCAGAATATCAAACAAAACCAACAATCAAAATCAGAATTCCATGTACACCAATGTCAAGGTTTTTCCTCCAAACACGGTCACCGTTGCGAACTTCGTGTAAAGACCAAAAAGAGCGAGGTGAACATATTTTGCCACCATCACAAACAACTGAGGAAGAATGAATTGGAAATGAGCATAAAGAAATCATCCAATTCAATCCTAGCAAATTCAAATTCAATACTTGTCCGTTGTGATGGTACTCGAAAAGCAGATGGATTTCGTTGTGTGCGTAAAGTCAAAATTGACTTTTCATCTGTCTACTCAAACCCGCATTATTGTTGTCCTCATCGCTTGCAAAAATCTGCAACAGTGTGTCGTAATATTGGTGGTGATAAGTTGGATGATAGACGTCCCTCCAAAAAAAACGTTCCACAAACATTCACAATGCCTTACACCATGAACGATTATTTGAATTGTACGTGCTCAAATAAGAAAGAAAGAAAAAAGAAAGAAGAATATTATTATTTGTAGATATCAAATCTCTTATATTCACACCTACATACATACACATATGTGTAGTGTGTAGTATATAGTATGTATCTATGTATCTATGTCTATAAGCCCGTCTATCAATAATACTTGTAAACTTTGTAGTTGGGATAAAACACAAGACCATAAGAGACCTTCATGTACACTACCACAAAATAATTCGAAAAGAAATGATGAGATCAACCTCTCCTGAAGATGGACCTGGTTACATTTATGTATATTCACTTGAACAAGGTCCGCGGGTAGCAAATAGGCGATTTGCGTATTTCAAGATTGGCCGTTCTGTAGATCCTTATAGTCGAATGAGCCAAATGCTCCAACGTTGCCAGATTATACCTAATGTCGTCGAGATATTTCCACAAGTCGAGGCACCTGAGTCCATGCTGTGTCAAATGTCACATCGCGTCGAGCGGCTAATCCTTCTGGAACTGATGGCAAGATACAACACTGCAGGTTTCAAATGCAAAATTTGTGGAACAACTCATCGGGAGTGGGTTCGTGTGTCTCGTATAAACAACGAAGATGGAAAATGCATGACAGATCATGAAATTTGGACAGCACGCGTACGACCAATTATTTTGCGATGGATTCAATTTGGCATCATGTCCTCCTCATCTTCCTCTTTTTCTTCTGACACAATGCCAACAAAATCAGAAACAGAAACAGAAGCAGAAAATCAAACAATTGTACAAGAATAAATTTATAAATACTCAAAACACACAAAAATACAAACACGGCACTATTCCCAAGAAAACAAGTGTGTAAAGAACTAAAGAAGTATATGTCTTTATATATATATATGTACAAACACATAAGAGTTTTATGGGATTTTTCTTCAAATATTGCTACTATATTCACTCACTCACACCTATATATATATATATACAAATCAAGGTCTAAACAGGAGGTGTAATTTCTGGATCTTCTTCTTTTTTGAAAAGGAATCGCTTCTTGATTTCCTGCAATAGTAACTGTTGTTCTTTTGATACGCTTTCAAGAACAGCTGAGTTCTCTTGAACACGGCGCACAAGATAGGGAAGCACTTGATCGATCATGCCATACGGGAGGTATTTGTATGTAGAATACCCATTTTTGCCCAAAATATACGAAATCTGGTCCTGCATTCCATACAGTTGGCCAAACTGGATAACACCAGACTGAGGAGATACGTGGTGACGTTCCATCTCTTCAACTGTCAGTACAACCGATTCTCTGTTGTGACTTGCTATCATAAATACAACCGGAGATGTCGTGGGAGACAAGATTTGACGGGTTGAACAATGGTGCTCCTGAAGTTTATTCAGCAAGAAAAGAATGGCTCCATTAAATGACGCGTGTGTGTCTTCAAGCGTGTCTTGAATCGGAGAAGGGTAGCCCAGGTCTTTAGCGCGCTACACACACATACACACAAAGAGATAGATAGAAAGAGAGAAGTACAAGAAATTTTGTGTTTTTGTGTTTTTGTGTTTTTGTGTGAGTGTGTGTGAGTGTGTGTGAGTATGCGTTTGTGTGTGAGTTTTAGAGTGAGTGTGATGGTTTGTTTGTTTGTTTGAAAGTGACAAGATTTGTTAGTTAACCTAGGTTTATTTTATTGTTGAAATATTGTCGTCTTTTATTATTCTTTCTAAGCTTACCTTTGTCTCTGACACCATGTAAGCTCCACGGACTAATTTGACTGCTAGTGTAAATCCCTTTTGTTCTGCCCATCTTGTGTCTCTTTCCAGTTTGTGTTGCCCACTTTTGGTGTACATCTGGTCTGGTTTTTATATTCACACACACACATTTAATTTGGGATCAATAGTTACACCATTAAGAATAATAATAGTAATGAATTCAATAAACAAATAAAAATTATATATATATCACTTACAAGTATTGTATACAAGTGCTTCATGGTGTGTGTCTTGAATACGATTAAATTTTTGTTGTAAATGCAGTGCAAAATGATCAATAGCTTCTTGATAATACGATTGTTCAGCATCTATCATAATCCCAATTCCAAGCTCTTTAGCCAACTGACATATATCCTCTAGACGATTAACCACCCTATCATAGTCTTTCCAGTCTTTATTACTCAAGAAATATGTGGCTTTGTCTGGCACATCCCACCAGATTTTACGATAAGGCCCCTGAAAATCAAACAAACTGTCAAACTGCACTTGATCGACAACTAAAACACCATCACCGCCACTCGAGGTCCCTGTCCTTCGCTCTCCTGCTGTCAACTGGTCAACAAGTCTTTTACGTTCCACTAGCTGTGCATCGGATTGCGGTGGTGGTAAATGGGATTGAATGATTTGGTCCAATATATCCAGACTCAGATAACCATTGACTTGATTGTCATCAAATGCAGTTTGGAGTCTAGAGAGTGCCGAATTGAGGTTCGTTAGGAATTCGGGTGACGTTAATGCCGTAATTTTGATCGCTGAGAAGGCCGACAATGATATGTGAGTATCACTTTTGGCAGGTTGGTAATTGTTATGGTTTTTGTAATCGTGGTCTTGGCCATGGCCTTGGTCCTGGTCTTGGTAGTATTTTTGGTGCTTTGATGCTGTGGCACGAATCCCATGCTTGATCATTTCGGCTAATGCATCTGGCCCTCGTTTCTCTTCTTTTACTCCTCCTACTCCACCTTCTCCACTTTCTCGGTCTTTTTGAGCCTCATTCGTTCCGTCAACATCGTCGGACTCCGCGCAAAGGTCGAGAATTGATTTGACCCCAGCTTGTTCAAGTCGTTCCATTATTGGCTGGCATTCTTCTGCAGTCTCGCCTCCACAAAATTGCCGAAAGAAAGTGTTTTTGATGACCCAATAGATTGGATCCTTGATCAGAAAAGAAAAGGAAGATTGGCTGGCCAGGTTAATTAAGCAAGGGGAAGCATCAACTAGCCAGGGAAGTGTACAGAGCTGGTATACAGCATATGCCAGAACCAACTCTCTTGTGCTCTTTTGGGAAACGGCTGCCTGGGATTCATTATCCTGAAGTTCGGCTATTGTGATTTGCGCTAAAGAATTTGAAGTACGTGTGTTTTGATGAGCGGCTGGATGAGGTGGCTTGTGACCGTAGACTTGGTTGACAGAAAACAGAGTGGTTGTGGTAGACACCAAGGCAAAGGTTCCACAAAGGGCCTTTTTGAGATTAGAAGAGGATTTTTTTGGTGAGCTTCGAAACGTTGAGAGCCTCTTAGGGCTGGTACGAATAAGGTGCATCTGGCTGGTGGTACATCTCTTGGAACATAATAGTAAAAGTGAGAAAGTGGGGCGAAGGGGTAATTGAAGTGGCATTTTTTTAATTGCATGTGTATTTGTATGTGTAAATGTAGTTTTTTGTAGTAACAGTGAAAGAGAGTAATTATGGACTTCTTTAGGCTACTTTAAACATAATACTTTATGCAAACCAAAAAAAAATAGATGCTTTTATTATTTTGCATAAAAGTATTTAGGTCCAGTCAAACAAGTGGGATATTTGAGAAAATGATATCGATACTATTATGATTATTCGCTCTGTAGCAACGAGTGAATTGAATAGTAGATATTCTCAAAAATGGTGTTTGCTACCAAAGCCATATTGCCTTTTTCTTTATATTTGCGCTGTTATTGGTCTCGTATTAAAATAGAATTGTATATATATTTGGTTCAAAAAAGGCAGATAAAAATAAACGCAAAGAGGAAACAAGATATATTCAATTGGTATTATTGAATAGCTCTTGTTTGAATAAATGATACAGGTTAAATATGATGTGTAAGTATATATATATGTGTGCGTGGGGGAGTGTAAATGGGTGTTTGTGTGTAAATGTGCTGATAAGAATACATTTATATATAGATATTGATATAGATATTGATATTGATACAGATATAGGTATCCCGTTATTCTTTCTTTACTATCATTATTAATAATAGAAAAAACAGTCGTGATTCACCAGATAGGTATATCATTTGTGCTGTGATTTGATTCATTGTGTATTGGTCCGGCTATTCCCCAAAAGTGCTCCCTTTTGAAGGGTTGATGTTGTTGCCGATTATGGTCGGATAATATTGTGCCCGCTAGTTTCCAATCACCGTGACCATTCTTAAGTTGAATAGTCTCCCACAAGGCTGCATCTGCCTGCTCTTGCATATAATTAGACTTGATCATCTTGCGCCGAGCAGCAGCGGCCTCTAATTTTGCCTTTGTGGTCATTTTTAACCCAATTCCTCCGCCTGATTGGGCTTGCGCGCTCCTTAATTGAGCAGACAAGAGCGAGCTACCTTCTTGTGATTTGTCTTTTACTGGCACTAACTGTTTGGTAAATACAATCGGACTTGTTTTCCCAGAATCAGGCTTGTAGATGGAGCCAGAACCAGGACCAGTGCCAGGACCAGTGCCAGGACCAGGACCAGAGCCTGAGCCAAAATCAGAGTTAAAAGCGTATGTAGATGAAGGTGCAGGCGCAGGTACAGGTGGAAATGTAGATACAGAGTTAAAACCAGATTTAAAACTATAGTCAGGGTTATATTCCTGTGGTGACACTGTGGGTGGGTTGTGTGCACGTCTCTTTCGTGGACCTGATGCAGTGGAGACTGAGGAGGTTGGAGTGGCTGTATAGGGGCGAGTGGCTGGTAGATGTGGAACTTGGGTTTGAGTTTGAGTTTGAGTTTGAGGAGTAGGGGGGTTGCTATAGTCATAGTCGTCTTGGTGCCCTGTGGAGGCATTTATGGCGCGAATAAGAGATGTTTGCCAACTTTCGATTGAGAAATCCATTCGATCAAGAGCCGGTAGATCCATTAAGCTGGTTCCTGCAGGACTGACAATTTCAGGGAGGGGGATTGCTGGGAGAGTAGATGCTGGTTTAGAAATGTATGAATCTAATATATATTATTAATATTAATAAAAGAATAATAACAATGATGGATACACAAATTGCTTCAATTCTTTTTATTACCTGTCTTTGGTAGGTGTGGCAGCGTACAAGATGGAGGTGTGTGAGGTTGAGGTTGAGGTTGTTGTTGGCCAAGTGCTGTTTTTGGACGAAACCTCGAGACTTTCTTGAGACTAGAAAATATCGAAGCGTTCTTTGACGGTAAGGTTGGTTCATGTTGTGATGGTAAAGGTGTCGATCTGTTGATGAAGGACAAGATTGAAGCCTTTTTATTGACATTGCGAGGTTGTGATGATGGAGGTAGAGATGGTTGTTGTGGTTGTGGCTGTGGCTGTGGTTGTTGCTGTTGCTGTTGCGTCTGTTTTGTTTGTTGTGTCTGCTGCTGTTGCTGTTGATATTGTGTTGGTGGATGTGCTATAGAGGGAGACTGTGAGCGGCGGCTATATAAAATATATAAAAATATAAATGTATAATTTTAACATAGGGAGACGGAGAGGGAGAGAGAGAAAATAAAATTTTAAAATAAAAATAAAATTCCAAAATAAAAAAAAATGCACAATGAAATATTGTCTGTTTTTATTTTATTTTAATTATTTTTTACCTGAACAAATTCTTTAAAGACGACGATGTTTTATTAGACTTGTGTTTGTCGTTGGCTGTTGGTATTTGTTTGTTGGTTGAAAATGATTTCCAAAACTTCTTGGGAGGTTCATTGGATAGAAGTAAGCCAGGCATATTGCTTTATTTTATTTTGTTTCTTTGGTTGTTTATTTGTTTTAATGTGTGCAAAAGAATAGAAGAGGAAGAAAACAAAGAAAAAATAGTTGCTATGGAGACGATGAAGATTAAAAAGAGCTTAAAAAATAACAAGAGAGAAAAAGATATTAGGCATATATATATATAAATGTTTCAATTATTTTATAATTCGGTTTATTTCATTATCGCAAATTGTGGTAAGCGGGAGGGACGGAATGACTCCGAATTAGCAACGGCAACAAAAAAAATACAAAATACAAAATAAAAAATGCTGCAATTAAATATATATATTATGCTGTTCTCATATATATACATATAATTGTATACTGACATTCGTTTATTCCACCCTTTTCTATTTCACTCTAATTTACTCTACCTTACTGTATTTCTTCTGCTAATATTTCCTAATAGATTAGAGCTAATGATTATATACAGAATGTCAGGCTTGTCCAGAGTCTTTATTGTTTGTATTGACAGTAAATCAAATGGCTTTTAAAAGAATATTATAAAGGGGTAAAGAAAGGCACTTTTGTATGTGTATGTGCCACCAGCGTGCCATTTTGCTGCAAGTTTTATTGGTACATTTGACCATTTTTAAACCAATCCACAAGTGTGTTTACAGAAATATGGGAATAGAAAAAAAGGAAGGCGGCTATGATTTCTGTCCAATTCGAATGAATATATCTATCTATACTGATGTTCATTCGCATGCAAAAAGAACCTATTGGGTCGAAGCATGCGTGCTGTTACTATTCTGTATAAGAAAGAATAATAAAAAGGGAATTTTTAAAAAACGGGCAATACTCGATCTCCGCCAAAGCGGATTCAAAGCTGATTGGAAGTCCTTGCTGTCAGATTTGTATACCTTGGAATTTCATTGATTAGGGAATGGCTGACAAATAATTGAAATATTTTGTATTTCTTGTGTATATACATGTAATATAATACAAATATATAGAAAATGTAACCATGTTTACACACTACGAAACTAATGATATCATCAATAAAGAATAATGCATCTATATGAATTATTAGACTTTAATTTTTGCGTTAAAGAGAAAAATCTGCTGCTTAGCAACAAACTACCTGCACAACCAATATATGTATATTCTTTAGAGTGCTAAAAAAATAATAATATAGTAATAATTACTGGCTTTACTTGTCAGGTGAATAGATAGTGTAATTATTTTAGGGAACAAGTGGTCAGTTTTTAGCTCTAATTTCCTTTCCTTCTTATTCTTACTCTTTTTCTTTTTCTGTCTCTGGACTAAAGAATATTCTTATGGCTTGGCAAAGAATACAAATTGGAATATGTGGCGAGGCAATGGAGATAGTAGTAGTAGTAACAGTAACAGTATTAGTATTAGTATTAGGTGTAGAAATAGTAGCCTGTGAACACATAGACTATATATATAAATGAGTCATTTAAAAATAAATACACTTTCTAATTGTCCGAAATGGTTCAAAAGACAAGAACGATACACAAGCTTGGGTTACTTGTGTGTTATTATGGTATATTGCGAAACAATCGGTAATTTACACACTTTTAGATAGAGCATTATAGCACTGGTAGATTCTTTTAACACAGATCCCTTAATATTCTTTATTTTACTCTCAAACAAACAATAAAGCATCACAAATCCAAATCATTTCCTTTTAACTTTGTTATTATTGTTATTATTATTATTATTATTATTATTTGCATTATTATTTGCATTATTTGTAGAAAATCCTTGTTGTTCTCTTGGCTGTTTTTTTAATATATATAATGCACCTGATAATCTTATTTTTCCAAAATAAAATATACATTAACATACCAACAATAAGCCTAACTTTCACAAAGAAGAAGAATGATAAATTCATATAATAATAATAATAATAATAATAATAATAATAATAGTAATAGTAATAGAAACAGTATATCATTGAATGTTATATATTTATATAGTGAGAGACCCTTTATTTACTATAAAAAGAGGTACCATGAAAGGTTTGTGCTCCAAAAAAAGGGAAAATAAAGAATTATAGTTTCAAAATATGTTTCTTGTGTATATGTTTCAATAAATCAGCCAGCCGGTCAGTCAGTCAGTCGGACAGTCAGTCAACAAGTCACCAAGTCAGTTAAACAGACAGAAAAGCAGTCAATCAGTCAATCGATCAATCAACGAATCTACAAAAAAGGGGGGAGGGGTTAAAGATGCCACGCTAGAGTAGCATTAACGAGCCATTGTGCCTCATTGATACGCAGAGCAGAAAAAAACAACAGCAACAAATAAAGTAATACTATGATACACATCCGAAGCACAAAGAATATATATATATATATAAATGTGTATATGTGTACATTACATGTATCTTGAAATATATATTTATAGTCTTTACATATATATATATTTACCCCAAACTACACATCCTTCTTTTATTATATTCAATCTGACAACTGCCACGATACTTGTATATTAAAGTATTAATGTTATATATATATATATATATATATATATATAACACAAAAATACACATGTTCATCTTTAATAAAAGGTATATACTTATAAGTATAAACATATTGATATCACAATTGCTGCTTTTGATATTGTTGGTAATGATAATGATAATGATAATGACAATGCCAATATTGTTGTTTGTTACAAATAAGCAAGTAGAAAAATAAATTCCAAATTTAGTCATATACATATACATATATATATATTACTTGTGTATTTTGTATTTGAAATAACCATTCAAACCATGTCCTACTCACACGCACAAATACACATTGCTATAATTTTAATTGTGTGAATATATGTGTGTGTGTGTGCTTTTTTTTTTATAGTTTCTAATTACCATAAAAAGAAGGCGAGTGTTATAAAAAAGCTTCTATCAAAGAACAATAACAGACAAGGGCTCTAGGCCCCATGTAGAATATAAAGATGAGTCTTTAAAGCCGCCTTCCCCCGGATTAGCCTCCCCCCCCCCCTTTTTTTTTTGTCTTTTTTTTTTCTCCTAAAAAAAAAGAGAAAGAGATAGAAGACACATTTTAGTATAGCGCATCCTATTGTATTACAAATCAGGTGGCTAAAAAAAAAGATATGTCTCTTTACTACACATACGCAAAATTCCTTTTGAGATTCTGCAAAAAGAAAAGAAAAGAAAAAGTACTGTGGCTGGACCAGATCAAGGAATTGTTTATAGTCAAGATATATATATATATATATAATTACAAAAAAAAACAATAAACACGCATATACATATCGTTAACTTCTCAGCAATCTATTTTAGTGTGGGTGCGACACTAAAAGCTGAACATGACAACGCCACAACAAAATATTATGATCATAGAAAATCGGCAAACACACACACATAAAAGCAATAAATCCTTTGTACTATCCAATAGAGCCTACATTATATCTTACAGTAAGTATTAGTATGTATATGTATATGTAGGGAAATAAAGAGAAGTATCTTTCTTATTATATGTGGTTTTTAAAAGCAATAAAAAAATACATCCTTTGTAATAAAGATAACCGGATAAAGTCTGACGGATCTGTGTTACAGAATACCCAGCCCGGCCCAAATGTATATAAATGTACACACACGTACACACACGTACACACAGAGATATACACAAAAGACCAAAAAAAAAACTTATAGGTAACGTCAGTGCCTTGGTATTTTATCACAATGGCCCCCATCATCTGGTGAGATTTGCCTTATGCCTCGGCATCTTAAGATCCATCGGGTTTTCCTTTACAAGAAACATAATATATTACACAAGATATTATGATCCTTCAAAAACAACAAACGATCTGAAAGGAACAAATGATAACACAAGAATGACACGCACCTGTTAGTTCCTTCAAATGCACAAACACATACACACACCTAGAGAGAAAGATAAAGAGATGAATGTGTATGAGTGTATTATTGCTATTATTATCCTTCCTTTTAAGATACGTTTCATATTCTATCTATATTTGTATCTACATAAAAGTGCCACACAAATAGTGTATAAATGTTTATAAATGTGTGTGTATGTGGAGGGTTTATGCTTTTTAGGATTCTCTCTTTTTTTTCCCTAACTTAGACTACCAAATAGTCCAAACGTTCTTAAATATTTTTTATTTGGTAGTTATAGTTACTTATTAACCCGCCATAAACCTTACACAAAAATATTAATAATAAGGAGCTATCTTATTTTATCCTTTTAATTTATTCACACATTTTGTATTAATTTTATTCTGTGTATATATGGATGTATGTGTGTGTGTGTGCATATACACATGTACATATATCATCTTATAGAACAATAATATTGTCTTTTTGAAGAACAAACAAAGTTGATCCTGTAGAAGTAGTAGTAAAAGAGGAAGTAGCATCAGGAGCAGTAGCAGCAGTAGCAGTAGCAGCAGTAGTAAATATGGCTGTACTAGTGCCAGTTAAAGGACTAGAACTTTTTTGCTTGGATTTACTAACCACACTTTCCTGCTCTCTTTTTAAAATAGCCTCTGATCGAAACATCTGACCATTATAGAGAAAGGAAAGGATTGAAATTAAGCCTGCAACCAGGGCTTGGAGTAACAGGGTATTATTGACACCATTCTCCGGAGTGGCATTGGCTGATGGTCCACGGCCATGGCCACGGTCATGGTTACGGAGCAAATCCATCACAATCACAAATCCAAATCCAAATAATTGTGAACCCTGCCAAAGTATAGAGCTTGTGGTTGATTCAGCGACCGGATAAGAAGCTTATATATAGATATATAGATGAACAGAAAACAATAAAAAATATAAATAAATATGTGTTTGTGCGTGTGTGTGCGTTGAGGGTTTAAAAATAAAGTCGGGAAGGAACCAAAAAAAGCATTATATTTTGTTTAAATATATATACGTACTTTCACTTCCAAGGTCGATAACAACTGGCACAAGAGAGCACAAGAAGAATTGGCTGACACACATCGCAATCATCACGGTTGCATATGAGCCATTCGGAACTAAACAGAAGGGTCACGTAAATGAAAAGGGTAAAGAGAAATTGGATCCGAAATAGAAGTAGAATCAGAAATAGAAATAAAAATAGACACTCATTATTTTTGGCGATTTCAAAAAAAAAACAGTGGTTTTCAAAGACTTACCAATAAACACAAGTCCAACATCAGCAATAAGAATCATGGGAGCTATCAGTCGTAAGAGTAACTTGTGTAGTTTCGTTGTATCCAAAAGAGGTCCAGCGATAGCTAATATACATATATGTAGACAACAACAACAACAACAACAACAATAGTAGTAAGTTATTGTAAATACATGTATGCACATACATACACACACACACACACACAAACTTACAGCATCCAAGAATACCTGCCAGAAAAGCAATCGCATTCAGTTGCCCTGCATCAATATCCGTGTACCCATACGGAGAAATGATTTGAATCAGAAGCGTACCAAAGGCAATGCACACTCCAACATTCAGACTGTGAATGAAAAACAATATCCAGAAATTATAATTTCTTGAAAGCAGCCGCAACCCGTCTACAAACTTTGGCTTTTCTTTCTCTTGAATATGCGAAGGAGGAGTTGGGGGTTTTGCAGGCATAAACATAACAGGTAAAAGTGCCACCAGAGATATCAATGCGACCACGTAGAGTAGGCGAGGCACTTGGTCCTTACTCACAGTCATTGATGGAATGACAAACATACCAATTATAGCACCATAATTAGATGCTGTTAATAAATCGAATGTAAGAAGAAAAAACAATAATGAAAGAGACATATGAAAAATTCACTCACCAATTAACATGCCAGCAGTTGTACGAAGCTTGTCAGTAAACCAACTCGACGCAAACTAATAAAATATAATCAAACCAGTGTTAAGCTACTTTAAAGATATTATAGATTGGATATACATATGCCTTTTTACCATTGTCATAATATTAAGTGCCAATGGATTAGCAATGGATCCCAATATTTGTCCAACCATTGTGATGGCAAATGAAGGTGGCTGTGTGTTTGCCCCAATGCACCGGACGCCAGCACCAAATGCATTAAGAAATCCAGCCAGTACTATCTACATACATTGACAAGCACATTGCAATGTTAGCCGATATTGACATTCTCAATTTATGTTCCTCATTTTTTCTTCTCCTTTTCTATATATATATAAATCTTACCGATCGCTTAATTCCTAATTTTTCAAAGATTAATCCAGTACAGAAACTGGCAATAACATACACAATGCACTGAACATTGGCCAGCCAGTTTACTGCCGAAAGAGAAACATCAAAAAATTCACTGGTCAAAGTTGGCACGATGCAATAGGTGTATTGGAAAAGAGCAATGGCAATACGGAGAAAAACCAAACATGACAAAGCAACCCAGGCCTGTGGGTATGTCTTGAGTGCGAATATACATTCTGGTGCTATCGATATTTGATGTTCAAGATCCGGAGTATTGAGTAAAGCTGTAGATGTGTAGGCGCTTATAGGAAGAGTTTCGGTGAGGCACCTGTCTAGGGATTTTTCGGATGATAAGAGAGAGTTTACAGTATTATTAGCCTCTAATCTGGCGTTTGATGCCATTGTCATTCGTTAAACGGTAATAATTCTTGTATACTTTCTCCTTTATAACAAAAATATAATCAGTATATAGGGTATTCAGAATCAAAGAATTGGACCAACAGACAATAATAAGTAAGATAATGATAATAACAATAATTGTGGAATGAAAGATGATATTGATCTTTGATATTTTTTAAAAAAAAATCTCTATTAAATTAAAGGCGTAGACTAAAAGTACGACAAAGAAAGAGCAATCTCAGAGATGACTCTAGGGTATGCTTTTCGAGAAAGAAGTTAATTTTTTGAGCCTTTGCTTTTATAGAGAATAATATATTTCCGCACTATTGCAGATGCAAGGATCTATTATTAAACCACTCTACTTCTCTAACTTTTATGAGTATATATTGAATAATATATATTATAAGATTGTCTTGTACAATTAAGAATCATTAATTTATTTTATAAAGTGCAATTTTCAGCAAGTACTATCAAAATGAGATGATTTGTAAACAGGTCGAAAACTTTTGGATATCCCTTTTTTTCAACAATTCAATATGTCAATGTACTTCTTTTCTTATATTCATTCCTTGCTTACCCAGTATATGATATGTCTGTCAACTTACCTTTAAAGGCCGTAATATAAAAGCTGCCAGTACATATTTGGCGAATTATCTTTATAGAACATTAAAAGATGTATTCTGTAATGTATCAATGCTTGTTTACTCTTCTTATTTGTATTTGAATTATATTTTGTACTGTGAATACAATTGCACATATGTGTATGAAATAACGAATAGAGGGTACCAAGTATTAATTGATATTCAAAATACAATGAGGACATTACTTGTATATTCAATCTACATCAAGCCTTTTCTGTCTTTGTTTCAAACACATATTTCTTTATTCCTTCTTGTCTCTTATTTTTCTTCATTTTTTACTTAACCTTTCGCCTTTCGCCTTTCGCCTTTCGCATTTTCGCATTTTCGCATTCTTCTCTTTCTCTCTTTCTCTTCCTCTCATCCCAATGCATCATTACAATGTCCATCTGGATTAGCCAAATTTAATAATATATAATTCACAGCATTGGTGTTCTCAAAAACTAGCCTTATTTTAATCCTAATATAATTTATAGACAACAACAACCTGTACAGTTAAACACGGATATCAATACCACTTTAGAATATACGAATAGTATTTTATTTCTTTTTATGTTTACTCGATTAGATTAATTTCTTCTTATAAATGAGTCCACCTAATTACAACATTGACATCAATCAAGCAAAAAAAAAATGTTTAAAAGCGTCTTTTTTTATTAAAGTTGACAATAGCTAAGAAATACTTTATTTATTTATTTATTTATTTAAAGATATATATAAAGAAACTATTCTATTTGATTTAATTTCACTTAATGTTCTTTTACATGAGTAAAAGAATAAAAAGCATGACACCAAGTTCTTTGTCCCCGCATTACGCGGCTCAATCTCCTTCAGGACGTAAACCTGACTTGGTAGCGAAGGAGGTGCTGGAATGGTGGCAAACCAACGGAAAGCACCCGTTCATCCAGCCCCACATCTCGTCACCGAGTAATGTGGGTGCGAACTCGCCAGAGAACTTACCACTAGGTGATAAGGTCCAGCTCATTCGACTACCAGTAGCTTCACCGTCAGCCGTTAAAGAGTTCAGTCAGGTTAGCAGTGAAGAGCCAGCACATCTCACCACAGGTTAGACCTCCCTCCCCCCAGCATCATGATTCCACATTGGCAATGCGATGTACACAGTAGTCCTTCCAAAAATGAAAAGAGACCATGCCCCACGACTTCTCAGAATTAACTGAGCTGGCGAGTAACAACTTTCACTTTCCGATGCTTGTAGCATGGAAGAATCTCCCTGCAACGGTCGCAAGAGACGCCTCACTATGAAACCGGGACTGTTGTTGCTCAAGAAGAAAATAAACGACACGCGTTGGAGGAGGTCTATAAGTAACAGAAAATTTTTTCATCTGCGATTAAAGTTTACGACTGCGCTTTTTGTCAGTCTTAGATGTTCACGTCAGAGCAAACGTGATATGGCTATATATTCTTTTTATTGGGTTTGTGTAACTGTTCTAAGGTAGAGTAGACAGCTAATAATATTGAATTAGATTACTAGAGAAGATGGCTTTTTCAAAGTAAAGCAAAGTAAAGCAAAAAAGCAAAGAAGTAAGGAAAGGTTCGGTTTTGATCGGTGTAGCAATAACTTTCAAAGTGGAGTACACGTTTCTATAACAGCGATATGTAGGTTACTCTAAAGTGGTCTGTGCGCTTCTTGTGCGAGAACGCAAGAAAAAGCTTTTATTTATTTCGCTTGTATAAAAAGACACAAAAAGAACCCAACAGTTGCTAGAAAATAAACCCACATATATTTCAAAGCAACATTAAGTAATAACGTCGATATAAAAAAAGAAAGCAGAAAGTATATATATAGCTGACATCTTCAATAGGAAAAAAAAAGATAAGATCCCAGAGCTTCTGCTAAGAATTTGACTGGAAAAGTTTCTAACTACACCTTCAGATTAGTCAAAATTAATGTCAATTTGGTTGCGAGCAAGATTGAGTAATTGACAAAAGCAATACTGATTTTACCACAATAAAGTCCTAGTGCTTCATTGAGATATACAGTCAAGGTTGTATTGATAATTTTACCTACATATAAATAAGGTAGTTACTCCAGCAAAAAATATAATTTACAAAGAAATAATACTATAAAATGATGGTATTACTTTTAAAGGAGAAAAACATTACTTGGTATCAATATATCTCTTTCTATTTAAGCTTGCTCTTTTTGTTTTGCTTTTAATACATTGGTACATTGGTACTTTAATATTTAGATATTTTAGATATTTGAATTTGAAAATTGAAATGAATTGTAAAAGAAGTTAACTTGAACTTTATAATCATTTCTACTTGATTTCAAGAATTTGGGTTTTGTAAAAAAAGAAAAAAAAAAGAAGAAGCGCTTGTATACTTTTGGCAAGATATTTGAAATATCAGCACATTTATACCAGGATTAATCCCACAAATTCCAAGAAAATGTATGTGATTATGTATTGAGATTTTTAGCATTTTAACCAAACAGATTATAATGTTGACAAACACTTCATTGTGAATTAAAACTTTCCTTTCCACTTTGTTCGTGAAACCTTGGCTTCTGTAGAAAGCAAACTTGATCACTTTTTTTGTATTACATATTAATTTCACGACCCGGTATTTAAATATGAGATAAAGAGATATAACCAGCACTCGATAGAATCTCATGCTTGGAAATAGTTCAAGTTATATTATATAGCTCTAAGATACATACTGATATTATGTTCTGCTGGTTTCTGATGCTGTTAGTTCTTTTGCTATTTCTGTTACGTAAAATGAGAAAATGGGGTTGGCTATACAATAGAAGTATAAGATCACAGAACTTCTTTTTATATGTTTTAAGCTCGTCTTTAATAGGCCCTTAAACTTACTGGTACCTGAGTACTATCTTTAAATTTCCCTTTTGAGTTCTTCTTTACTGACAGAAAGCTTCACTACTTTATTGTTTTTCTTCATGCACTAAGCTTGCTTGTCAAAGGATTGACACATAGAATGACTGTATATAAATAATAAGCCACATAGATATCACACGCCAATATGTGGAGTTATTCTATTGGACAATTAGTGTTTATGTCATATCTTGCGTATTCACTCATACGCGTATAGAAAAATGAGTCTTCAGTGTGAGGGCAAGAAAACCCGCCTTTCTCATAAACACAACACATAGAAATGCCCATGTAAGTAACAAAATCGTTAAAGAAAGTACATTTCACACATGTTGTGCTAATTATGATGAATTTATTAATGTAATTTGTAGTAATGTTGCTTTTGACATTTACCTAAATGTATTTTCTCAAGAAGTGAATGTAAGTAATCACAAAATAAAAAAATATACCCTTATTTCATTGAGACTCTTGCTAACATTGCGTAGTTAATAGTAAAGAAAAGGTCTGGCCCGAAAGGGTCAGCCTTGACATCAGCTTGTCAAGAAAGCCTCTAGTGACGTCGTTGCGGTGAAAACCAAAGCGGCCAACCAAACCACACCCAGTTAATGGCTCTGGGAACGGCTAGCAAGAAACACCGGTCTACTCTGGTCTCCTCTATTTTGACATTTGGTACAACGTGGTCAATCCGTCATAGAGAGGTGTAGCATAGGTGGGAGCCACCGGGCGCCAATGAAATACCACCACTCTCTATGACAAGCCAAACGGACTGAGGATGAGTCCTGATATTCTCCTCCCCGTTGATGTCAGATGTTGAGGTTCAAAGACGATCAGATAGACTGGTTTTTTATGGGTTGACAGCCGAACGTTCTAGCGACGCAGTTGACCTATAATAAAACCAACTCAACCCGTGCGATAGGCATCCATATGTCTGGGGTATGACTGATTTAACAAGTTGGGACGCTTATTGAGCCCAAGTAGGAGAGTCAGTATAGAGTTTGGTCTGACTGTCATGATGTACTGGTCTACTTCTTGCTGGCTGTTAGCCTATATTGTAACAGCAAATGGAGTTTTTTTTCGCAAGATAAATTACTTTATTCAAGCCTCCACTCTCTCGTGATCGGTGTTCTGATCCTGTTTTCGCGAAGATGTGCTTGTTCAATGAGTTTTTGACTGAACGCCTTTAAGTCATTACTCTGTGCTGGAAACAATGTTACTCGTTCTCCGTACAATTTTGTACTTGATACCATATACTGTCTTTCGCTTATTACTGTCTAGGCAGTCGTAAGCAAAGATACCCTGATAATGCCAATTCTAGAACGGTAAAATCTCGTTCATCCCAAACGAAAAAGGCGGGGTCTCCAAACTTTATACGGTCTTCGTTGCCTAAAAAAGTGAAGTTCGCCCTTGTCTTTCGATTTCTTCCCTCCGTCTCGGTCTATAGTTGACTTTTTAGTTGGCTTGACAGGTGTTTTTCCAACCTTGGTTGGAAGAGCGTGAGTTCGAATCTCACAGAGACGTATTACTAGCAACAAGCTAGTTACAATTTCATATATATATTATAATTACTAGAGCACAAGCTAGTCATAAATAGTATTTCAAGATAGTAAAAATATCATTTAATTGTATAAATATATTTAATGAACTGCTTACTGCTTGCCTTTGACCAAAAACGCTACAAAAGACCATAACATATCGGTGTCCTCATGGAAAGCATGTTTAACATATACAAGTTCAAACTTCTGCCTGCTGACCATCTTCACCTCAGTACAAACTATCTTGCAAGTATTAGTTAAATAGAAACAAATTAGAAAGTATTTTGTAATGAGCATTGAAGCATTGCTGACGCTCTATTCAGCATCAAGGTGTAAACACACATCAATTTATAGCATCGCCACGGTTGATATCTCACTCAAATAAGTTAATAATAATACCATGCCAGCCGTTCAGAAAAATTGTAAGCTTACTGAGATATTCGGGATTGTTTATGGATTGGTATATCAATAATAATAAAAGTAAATATTGTGAAAGTGTTATTTATTAAAGAGACCAAATAATATTGTTTATATCTGTTACTATTAAAACAGCTATAATTCAAATACCTGTTGTGTAATAGTTGGTTTACACTGTATGAGTGTGTAGTGTACATATGTCTGGTGTGTAATAGTCCTGGTGATTATTAACTTTCCCGATTTATTGGCAAGCAGAAACCAGTGTTTGGTTCTGGAGCCTGTTCTTCACTTACTTGTGGTGTGTATACCACAGCCACCAACATACTAGCCTTTCTATACTGTTGATTTATTTATTAATATTCATAAAAAGAAAAATAATATACATATATAACACAGTACATAGTTCCTTTTTATTAATATCAACAAGCCTATTAAATATTTATTGATCATGAGATATTGTTGTTGGTAATTTTTAAAAAAAATATTAATAATAAAAATTCAAATCAAAAGAGTTTTTTATTATAATTTTATTAGTGGACTAAATCGAAGAATATATATATATATATAGAGAGAGAGAGAGACAATTGTCAAATTCTTAGTTCACCACTTTGTCAAAAGGTAAAATAACAAGAGTGGATCCATCCCCTTCAGGACGAAGACCTGATTTGACGGCGAAGGGGAAAAAATGAGTCGGTTGCTCTCTTTTCAAGAAAGAGTGGAGTGGAAAACAGAGGCGAGGTCAAGCAGCATTGCACGTCCGCATACACCATTCCAAGCCAACGGATGTTTTCTAGATCAACGGTTTCCACACCGCATCACACACAGCCACACCCAACTCGTCTGGACACTTGCGCAGGAAACTGCCAGTGAGATACGTCAATAAAGACCGTAAAACACAGTACAAGAGATCATTCGTGCATTCTCTCTTGTAGGTCCAGAATAAAGAAACGTAAGCTCGCCTGAGAACGAAACGCCCAGAGAGTCGACACTAGTAAAGTAAGTATACTTTGTACTTGCATTCTTGACGGAACAATACTTACCAAGAATTCTTGCGACCAGAACGTATACTTTGCAGAGAGAATGCCAAATTCTTAGTTCACCACTTTGTCAAAAGATAAAATAACAAGAGTGGATCCATCCCCTTCAGGACGAAGACCTGATTTGACGGCGAAGGGGAAAAATGAGTTGGTTGCTCTCTTTTCAAGAAAGAGTGGAGTGGAAAACAGAGGCGAGGTCAAGCAGCGTTTCACGTCAGCATACACCATTCCAAGCCAACGGATGT